TTGTCCATTTTCTTATTGGTTTGTCGTTAGCATATGAGTCTATTCGTGCACAGATTATGGGCAGTCCCACACTTCTATCTTTTGCTGATGTGTTTTCTTGATTTCAGCGCGCTACACTTGTAAGTGACACCTCAAATTTGAATAATGGGACGAGTGGTGAGCATTCAGCATTGGTAGTTTCAAAGGGTGAACACAATGCTTAGTGTGGAGGTCGTGGGGGATGCTCCACACGTGGTGGTCGTGATTCACGGGGAGGACGTGGCCGTGGTAGGGAATCACGAAAATGTATTCATTGTGGCCTTTCTAATCATACTGTGAATTTTTGTTGGAAACTTTATGGCAAACCATCTAGTTATGTAAATCAAGTTTCCTTCTCTTAGAATGATGTTGCTTTTGGATCTTACCACGTAGCTAAAGCAGATACAATCATTGTTCCACGTGATGAGTATACTCAATTTTTGTCTTATAAGCAAGCATCTAATTCATCTTCCACGGCTACCTTTGCCCAGCCAGGTACTGTACACACATGTCTATTGTCTTTCACTCACAGTCCTTGGATCATAAACATTGGAGCATCCGATTATATGACTGGATGTTCTTCTCTTCTATCAGACATTAATTATGTACCTCCTTCTCAAAGTGTTACTCTTGTTAATGGTTCATTCACTAAGGTTTTAGGTTTGGGAACAACTCAACTTAGTGATTCATTGTCTCTCTCGTCTGTTTTATATGTTCCTCAATTTCCTTTTAATTTAATGTCTATCAGTAAGCTTACTAAATCTCTCCAGTGCTCTGTTACATTTTATCCTACTTCTTGTGCGTTTCAGGATCTCAAGACGAAGAAGAAGATTGGTACGGGGCATGAAACTGGTGGCTTATATTAATTTGATTTGGAACCTTATCTTGTGGCTCTTTAGTCTTCTCTGTCTCCATTCCAGTGGCACTATTGTCTTGCTCACCCGTCATTTCAAGTTTTGCAGCGTCAAGTTCCTAGTCTTAGTCATTTAAAATTCTTGTCATGTGAATTTTGTCAACTTAGTAAGCACCATCGCGTGTCTTTCAGGTCTAGGGCTAATAAACGTGTCTCTAGTCATTTTCATTTGGTTCATTCAGATGTATAGGGTCCAATAAAGCATTCTTTAATCAATAAATTTCATTATTTTGTGACATTTGTGGATGATTATTCTCGCCTGACTCGGTTGTTTCTAATGAAAGATCGTTCCAAGTTATTTTTAATTTTTTAAAAATTTCGAAAAGAAATCAAAACTCAGTTTAGATACCCAATTCGTATCCTACATTCTGATAATGCTAAGGAATATTCTTCAGCCCCTTTTGATACATATCTTAGTGATAAAGGAATTATTCATCAAAATTCATGTATTTATACTCCTCAACAAAATGGAGTTGCAGAACGTAAGAATCGATACCTCTTAGAAGTAACCCGTGCTCTTTTGTTTCATATGCGTATGCCTAAACGTTTTTGGGGTGATGCCGTTCTTACTGCCTGTCATCTTATTAATCGTATGCCGTCCTCTGTATTAGATGCAAATCTCCACATTTTATTTTATTTCCTGATTCTCCTTTGTTTTCTCTTACTCATAGAGTTTTTGGTTGTGTATGTTATGTCCACAATCTTGGTCCTGGTTTTGATAAACTAGACCCACGTGCCGCAAAGTGTGTATTCTTAGATACTCTAGTTCTCATAAAGGTTATCACTGCTATAGTCCTGTTTCTCAACGGTACTTTATTAGCGCGGATGTAAATTTTTGTGAGTCTATCCCATATTTTTCAGATACTATTCACTTCTTGATATCACTTCTGAGTTGCCTCTTCCTGCTGTTACTCTTCCTTTACTTTCTCTTCAACCTAGATCTCATTTGCCTGTAACAGGTGTACACTTGAAGACCAAAGCCGTCTGCTATCATGCTTCCTCTATCATCTTCAGAGTATTTGGATCGAACACCATCCACTGTGTCTGATTCCTTGCCTATTACACTTCATAAATGTATTCGATCTTGTGTCACTAATCATCCCATTGCGCATTATGTCTCTTATAATTCCTTATCGCCATCCTTCTTATGTTTTTCATCTCAGTTGTTTACTACATTTGTTCTTAAGATTATGCAAGCTACTTTGTCTTATTCGGGCCGGAGGAAAGCAATGCAAGATGAAATAGATGCTTTAAATTTACATCAGAATGACACGTGAAATCTTGTTCCATTACCTCCAGGTGCCAAACTTGTTGGTTATCGCTGGGTATATAATGTGAAGTATCTTCCAGATGGGTCCGTTGAGCATTTAAAAGTACGTCTTGTTGCCAAAAGTTATACCCAGACTTATGGTGTTGACTATGATGAGACGTTTGCCCCCGTTGCTAAGATTTCTTCTATTCGTTTTTGATTTCTCTTGCTGCTAATCGAAATTGGCCTCTGCTTTAGTTAGACGTTAAAAATACCTTTTTACATGGTGACTTAGCATAAGAGATTTATATGGAACAACTACATGGGTTTGTTGCTTAAGGGGAGTATCGTCACATTGTTTGTCGCCTTAAAAATGCCCTATATGGATTGAAACAATCTCCACAGGATTGGTTTGGAAAATTCTCTGAGGCGGCATTAAAATTTGGTCTTAACAAATGTCAGACCGACCATTTAGTATTTCACTAGCGCACTAAAGTTGGCTTCATATTTCTTGTGGTGTATGTAGATGATATTGTGATCACATGTGATGATTTTGAAGGCATTGCTAAGTTGAAGTTGTTTCTGCAACATCGATTCCACACTAAAGACTTAGGTAAACTTAGGTATTTCTTGGGTATTGAAGTTGCTAGATCCAAGAAGGGTATAAATTTATCTCAACGAAAATATGTGTTGGACTTATTAGAAGAAACAGGTATGTTGGGTGGTCGTCCGGTTGATACGTCTATGGATTCAAATACAAAACTTGTGTCTGATGAGGGTGATCTATTTAATGAACCAGGCAGATTTCATCGCCTTATTGGGAAATTAATTTATCTCACTATCACTTGACCTGATATTTCATATGCAGTTAGTGTTATAAATTAGTTCACGGGAGCTCCTAGAATGCCACATTGGATTGTTGTTCTTCGGATTATCTGATATCTCAAGTAAGCTCCAGGTTTTGGGTTACTATATAAATCAAATGGTCATCTCAGGGTGGAAGGTTTTACAGATGCCAACTAGGCTGGTTCTCATTTAGATAGGAAATCTACTACAAGCTACTGCACATTTGTAGGAGGAAATCTTGTTATATGGCGAAGTAAAAAACAAACGGTGGTAGCTCGATCTAGTACTGAAGCTGAGTGTAGGGCAATAGCCCGTACCACTAGCGAGTTGACAAGGATACAACATTTTCTAAAAGAACTTGGGTTGACAGTTGAAGCTTCTACTCCATTGTTCTGTGATAATCAAGTAGCAATTCACATTGCATCAAATCCTGTATTTCATGAGAGGACCAAACATATTGAAGTTGATTGTCACTTCATTCGAGAAAAAATATTATGTGGGAGCATCTCTACTTCATTCGTGAAGTTTGAAAATCAATTAGTTGATATGTTTACCAAAGCATTGGTCATAACCGGTTAAGAACTATGTGTTCCAAGTTAGGATTATTTGATATATATTCTCCAGCTTAAAGGGGAGTGTTAGAATGTTTATATATATATATATATATATATATATATATATATATATATGTGTTGGGTCATTATGTAATTACATATAATTGGTAGGGCCTTTGTGTTATTAAGCAAGTCTTGTATCTTTTATATAAGCCTGCATAGGCTTATTAGGGTTAAGCAATATATACAAAATGTCTGCACACACACTCTCTCTCTCTCATGATTTTGAACACTTTCTTATGGCCTTGAATGGCACCGTTTGGTTTTCATATAATTATTTTACTCACTATTAATCTCTAGCTCTTACTAAATTTTGGGCAGTTTTTGAAGTTCCCAAAATCATGTCTTCTAATCTTATAATTAACTTCATTGACATGCAGAAAATTGAGAAATATTGATAAACTACCGACAATGATCTAAACTATAAAATTCTTATTTGATATATAAAATTGTAATGGTCCAATTTTATCCGAATAAAAATGAATCAAAAATTGTAAATTTTCTTCTTATTCATTATTTTCAAGGTATAGTTATTATACTTTATAAGTTGATTTGTTTGAGAGATCTTCCTTAAGATATAAGATTATAATTTTTAGGAATTTTTTTAATACTACTGAGTTATAGTTTAAGAAATAATGATCATTGCTGATTAATTTCAAAATTTTGCCAACTGTTTATAGGTGTTTCAAAAGTATGCATATCAATCGTTTGCAAATATCAAGTTGTCATATGAGTTGTTATTGAGATTGTCTATAACCCTAACCACATTCTTTACGTATGCATGAGCTTAGAATCATTCAGAAAAGATGATATATTAAAACAACAAAGTGAGAAGGGACCGTCTCTATAAATATTCTATAAAGAGCATTTTGGAATGAAACTTGTTTTCTTGATTTTTTTTTTTGGAAGTTAAAGTAATTACTCACACATAAAGAAGCCTTAATTTTTTAAATTGGTAAATTGCAAACTAAAAAGAAAAAAAGAAAACGTTGGATTAGAGAGAGAGAGAGAGGAGGGGGATGAACTCAATGAGTTATTATTTGTATTGGATGTCAATTTTGTCATCTAAAATTTATTTTTAAAATGTTTATCAAACCTTTAAGCGTTTTTGACCAAATTATCATTAAATGATCACTTATCAATTAAGTTTTTACATTGGTCACTATTCACCTTTTCTTGACTTTAAGATCACTGTAGAGCAATTATGTTTAATTTTGATCACCAAAATATAATTTTTCCATAACCATATAGCAGATAAGACACAAGACAACTTTCAGATAATTTCTATGAATATCACTTTTAGCATCAGCAAAAGCAAAACATTCTGACACTGTTAACGGATACAACATAGTGCCAAAAAACTAATCACAAGAGGGCATCACAGGATATCTTTCTAGGGTGACACGCACACACATATATGTTACCATGTAGATATGCCACACACACACTTATATGTTACCATGTAGATATGCCAGACCATTACAGATTACTCAACAAGGATATGATACACATAAGAAGATGAAAACAACACTTCAGAGAAAAGGGCAGGTTAGAAAAATGTACAAACATTAGATAGGTTGAGAAAATCGGACATGTGAATATTCAAGGAAGCTGCTTCTACTCCTGCAGAGATGGTGCTTGTTGGTGCTGCTGCTGCTGTTGATCACCCTGCCAAACCCAAACGATATCTCGAAGAGCAGGTCTAATACCCTCTTTCAATATCTTCTGATATTCGAGAGTATCTCCGTTGCATTTCTTCACCTCCACCAAATGAAAAAATGGTGTGACCTCAAATATCTCTGCATCAATGGATAAGATCCCCTTTCTACCTTCCTCTGTTCCTTCCATTTTTAACAACCCTCCATCTTTTTTCCTCACCTTCAGCCTCAGATGCTTAGCAATTTCTTCCAGTTTAGAGATGATGACCGATGCAGGTCTCTGAGAAGTAAATACTGCTTCTTTCTTTAGACAAGGTTCCTCAAACAAGCCAGATAGGTCAAATCCAGCAGAACGGGCGATGATATCAAATGCATTCAAGTTAGTAGGCTTTGTTAGGTCTTGCTTTTCCACAGCAGTTGTACTGCTGTTCTCGCAGGGACTAGAAGCTGCACCCATATTTGGAGGTACCATCTCCTTTCTTTTTGCCTCATTTTGCAATGTTTTCGAGTCCAATCCCCTTTTGAACCAAGAATTTTCCTTAATTTTGGTAATCGAAATTCTAGTATGCGGATTGGGATCCAGTATCCTTGACAGTAGCCTGCGGACTTCTGCTGGAAACCAGCTCGGGCATTTAAACTCTGCTTTACCAATCTTCCTATACATCTCCATTAAATTTGAATCATTAAAAGGGGAATAACCAGCCAATAGAATAAACAGGATCACCCCACATGACCAAATATCAGCTTTGGCCCCATCATAACCTTTCCTACCAATCACCTCAGGGGCGACGTAGGCAGGGGTACCACAAGCGGTGTGAAACAGCCCATCGTGGTGCTTGGATTCAGCAAGGGTACTTAACCCAAAATCTGAAACCTTCAGATTATCATTTTCATCTAGCAGCAAGTTTTCTAGTTTCAAATCCCGGTGGTAAACACCTCTACTGTGACAGAAATCAACAGCTTTAATCAACTGTTGAAAATATTTCCGAGCAACATTTTCCTTTAACTTTCCTCTAGACACCTTGTTATAAAGCTCGCCCCCTCTAGCAAATTCCATGACAAAATAAATCTTGGTTTTGGTAGCCATGACTTCATAAAGCTGCACAATATTAGGGTGTCTGACCAGTCTCATAACAGATATTTCTCGCTTTATCTGATCGATGAGACCAACCCTTGGAACCTTCTCCTTGTCTATTACTTTGATGGCCACGTTCTGGCCAGTCTTGAGACTCCTTGCATAGTAAACCTTAGCAAAGGTGCCTTGGCCAAGTAATCTCCCTAATTCATATCTTTGCATCAACACACTTCCTTTGTTATCCATCCTAAAGCTACAAAATCTGCTACAAATTTTTTTGTGCAGGAGTAGTCAACGTATAAGCAGTTCAACCATCTACACAAAGCTCGTGCATTAACACAACCGCAACTTTATAAATCATTGGTCTGTTTTGCATTCGGACAGGAGAGAATGGGCTACTATGGACACTCCCACTCTCATCAAGAATAAAGAAAGGCAGCTCTTGTAAGGCCAAAATATTGTGCACTTCAATGAAAGGACTCTCAGCGCTCAAACACATCTTACAAAGAATGCTGAAATGACATATACGCAATCAAACAAAGAACGTTCAGCTAAATACTCAATGAAATAACACAGAAATTCTGAGAATTCAATTTGCAAGCATACAACACAAGGAAAAAAAAAACAAAAAGGAATACGTTTTTGCTTCAAAACAATAGATACAGAATGAAATGGAAAAAATAATCAATAAATGCTGAAATAAATAAACGGTAGAACCCACCTATAATAACAATCATTCAGAAGAGGATGCAAAAAGACCTTATGCATATATGAAAAACAACTACCATTGTTGCTTTAGATTTTATGTCAACAAACTATGAACATAAATTTCGAGAGATAAGAATCATACACTTGCTTTCTGAAATTATATCTTGCAATTCTAGCACATGAAGGTCAACTAAAACGTTTTCGTGCCACAAATCCACATCTTCAAAGTTCAAATACTACCCAAAAATGTAAATGCTGACAGTAAAAAGTAGAAAAGAAAATTCACCAAGACTAACCCCTCCCCCTTCTATGGTGAATTGAAGCACACAACCTGAACTCAAGGTCTAATTTTGAAAATCTTCCATACAAATCTATGCTAAACCTCGCCCATTTTGATGTCCACTTATATGAAAATCTTCCACATCATGCACCTAATGCAATAAATAAATAAAATATTAAAAAAAAAAAAAAAAAAAATTCAAACTCTACTCGTCGATCACTTTGATCAGATTCTAGAGAGAAGTAATTGATTGAGATTAATTTTGCTTATAAGTGATGGTCCTAGGATGAGTAAAACATAAACAAATACAACCCAACGAATATTTGTACGAGTACAGTTAAAGAATGAACTTAGAAAAAACCACAATTCTACCAAACCTATTCGCAGACAGAGTTCTATGCATAAAGAATTGAATTTTGATTACCTTTTTTTCTTCAAACTCAGAATTTCCAACGGAGAACAAATTACAGGGGGAAGAGAGAGATACTGCAATTCAGAGCGAGCTAATTCACCTGACATTAAGTCATACTTATATATACATATTATATATATATATATATATATATATAAACCCTCGCACACTATGTGCTGTTTTTGGATGATTTAGTCCGTCTACTATTTATATTTTTTTGAGTTAAAGACAATGTGTTACACTTTGTCTCAATTTGATAATTGGTAATAATTTCTTTCCCACTGTTTTGTAATTTCATTTCAATTATTGAATGTTATGGTTTAATGAGATCCGCACAATTCTAGTAACTTAGTCGTTTGTAGCATCATTAATTCAGGAGAGAATTATTATTTAATCATTTTCTTTCTAATTCCTCGGGCCCACTTCACATCATCACATGTATTTATGTAGCTGTGCATTGATTTTCATACTCTGCATTCCGAATATTCTTAGGTTTTGTTTTATTTTTCTTTTCTGGGATTTTATAAATTATAACTGACACTCATGTAAATACTTATGTAACACATATCATATATATTAAGTGAAAAAAAAAAAAAAACATATAATATATTTATATTTTAATATTTATATAATAATATTAAGTTGCAATGTTATAACATTACAAAATTAAAATATATACTCCGTAGGTTCTTTCATTATCAATTTAAAATGATTACTTTGTTGATTTATAAGTCTAATTTTCTCCTTGGTAGAATAGAACTAGCTTATTCATGAAAACCCAATTCCTAAGTATAGAGAATACAGTGACGGAAACCTATTTTTCTGTAACGGCAGCGAGGATAGCCGTTACTCAAATTCGAAGATTGGCGGGAACGTCAAGAAGACCAAAGCTTACCAAAGAAAGAAAGAAAGAAAGAAAGAAAGAAAAGAACTGCAAGGAAACTAAAAATTCAATAAATAAATAAATACAGTAAGAAAAATGATGTTCTGATTCTGAAGCTCGAACTGTTTGATTTTGATGAATTCGATTCCCAAAATTATTCCATCTCTTCTTGATTACATAACATCCACACTTCACCATAAATTCCTAAACCTCACCCAATTACAACAAATCCATGCTCAAATCCTCACCAATGGATATATCCATTCCACGCCTCTCCTTACCAACTTCGTCTCTTCGTGTTATCGATCGCACAAACCTCAGTACGCAGTTCTGTTCCTGCAAAATCTACCAAAGCCCGGCTCACTGCTATGGGATTCGATGATCCGTGTTTCGTTAGAATCCGATAATTGTCAAGATTTTGTGCGTTTTTTTAATGGGTTACGATGTAATCATGTCATTCCCAGTAAAAGTACGTTATCTCTAATCCTCCGTTCATGTGCTGGTCATTGTGCGACCCAACTGGGGGAATTGTTTCATTGTCATATAGTAAAAATGGGTTTTGTTTTTGATTTAGTTTTGCAAACTGGGTTGCTTGATTTTTATGCAAAGGTTGGAAATTTGGGGTCTGCGAAGCTGGTGTTTGTGGAAATGCCTGAAAGAGATGTTGTGGCATGTAATGCAATGATTTCAGCGTTGGGTAAGCACGGATTTGTTGAGGAAGCACGGAATCTATTTGATGGTATGCTGGAGAGGGATTCCTGTTCTTGGAATTCCATGATCAGTTGCTATTGCAAATTGGGTGACATTGATTCTGCTCGTTTGATCTTTGATGGGAATCCAGTCAAAGATGTGATCTCATGGAATGCAATGATCGATGGATATTGTAAGTCAGGTCAACTAATGAATGCTGAAAGGTTGTTTTTTAGGATGGGATCTGCTAAAAATTTTGTCACATGGAATACCATGATCTCGGGATATGTGCAATATAGGGAATTCAGGAGAGCCATTTATGCTTTTCAACAAATGCAAGCTGAGAGAGTGAAGCCAACCGAAATAACAATGGTTGGCTTGTTATCTGCATGTGCTCACCTTGGCGCTTTAGATATGGGTGTATGGTTTCATGCTTACATTAGAAGAAAAAACTTAAAAATTGATGTTGTTTTAGGTAATGCTCTTATAGACATGTACTGCAAGTGTGGGAGTATAGAAGCTGCATTTGATGTTTTTCATGACCTTCCTGTGAAGAACGTATTTTGTTGGAATTCTATCATTGTAGGACTAGGAATGCATGGTTACGCGAAGGAAGCAATAGATGTTTTCATGTCAATGGAGAAGGAGGGGATAAAACCGGATGGGGTCACCTTTGTTGGGCTGTTGTGTGGTTGTAGCCATTCGGGATTGATATCTGTTGGTAGAAGCTATTTCTCCCAAATGCATGCCATTTATGGGGTTAAACCTGGAATTGAACATTATGGCTGCATGATTGACCTTTTAGGGCGAGCAGGGCTTCTTGAAGAGGCGTTAAACCTCATATTGACCATGCCCATAAAACCAAATTCAGTGGTGTGGGGAAGCCTTCTCCGAGCATGTCAGATTCATAAGGATACCAAATTAACTGAGCATGTGACCCAGAATCTAATGAAGTTGGATCCATGTGATGGAGGAAATTATGTGTTTTTGTCCAATATATATGCATCGTTAAAGCGTTGGGATGATGTGGATATGTGCCGGAAATTAATGATTGAGAGGGGAGTGCGTAAAACACCTGGATGCAGTTCAATCGAGGTGGATAATATAATACATGAGTTTGTGGCAGGGGATTCTTCACATCCCCAATTCCCACAAATTAATGTGTTTCTGGACAAGATTGCAAAGGAATTGAGAGGGCATGGGCATGAGCCAGATACAGCTTCTGTGCTCCATGACATAGAGGATGAGGAGAAAGAGAGTGCAATTATATATCATAGTGAGAGAATTGCTGTTGCTTTTGGACTAATGAACACACCACCTGGAAAGACAATTCGAGTGGTGAAAAACCTTCGAACATGTAGTGATTGCCATACTGCCATGAAGCATATATCAGAATTATTTAAGAGAGAGATAATTGTGAGGGATCGAAATCGGTTTCACCATTTCCGGAATGGGATCTGTTCCTGTAAGGATTACTGGTAATTGATGGTATGTACTCATCTTTATTGCCATTTTGTTTTGTCATATACATTGAAGTGAAGGTTTAGTTACAATGCTCTTCCTTACTTGGGGCTTTGAAGAGAAACATCTTGTTCCAGTGCTGGTATTACTTTACCTTTGCTTGCTGTTTCACATTCTAGCACTGAAATTGCAGGTTAATATTCTCTGACCGGTTACTGAATGCTTCAACCAATATGTGACCCTTTTTGGCCAATCTAGGACTATGTGAATCTTTGAATACGCTAGATGTCAAATTCAAATTTTTTACACCCTTGGAGTTGCAATAACTAAGTAGGTAGTTTCTCATGGGTATATCTCCATACCAATACGTGCGTAAGAGATGTCAACTTCAAATTTTTACACCTGTGAGTTGCAATAACCAAGTACTTTCTAATTTGATGATTTATTAGGATGTTTGAATATTTCAAGCATCGGTATCAATACATCTCAGAAATTTATTTTTTGTGGAAAGACAACAGTATAAAATTCTCATGTCCGTGATCCTTATAATTATAAACAATACAAAATTATTTAATTTAAGTAAGCCCCACCATTTGAAAGCTGCAAAGCTTACAGTGATGTGGTAAAAAATTTGTCTAGGATGGGTAATTGATGGTTGGTGCACTTGGGTCTTAAGACAGTGCTCAGGTGAATACAGAACTCTCGAAAGAAGAAAATTTCGGTTGGGGAAGAGGTGAAGGAAGGATATATAATCAGTCATGTTAATCTGGCATGAGCTGTCTTTATGTGGCGATGTTTGGCTGAAGATGGAGTTTTCGGAGAATGATTTTAGCTGTCCGATTCTCTGTACTGGGTGTTAAATCAGATGCTCCTATGGTTTCAGCGGCTCAATACCATTATTAAATCAAAATGCAAATCAAATTTGTAATAGAGGCAATGCTCAAAAGCACCCCCTGGAATAAATATGCAGTGCAGGTGCCGCAGCAGTTGAATTCTTCTTATTTGGCATCTCTACCTTGATCATCATATGATGAAGTAAGCCTACGAAACCATATTCCTTCATATACTGCATCTTCTGTTTTATCCTCTTGTGGTATTCTTCTTCGTTTGTTAAATGTACGCATCTTCTGTTTACGAAAAGGCCTCTAACCCAATGGTATAACTTCCCCATCCTCAATAAGGAGGGGAGGGGTTTGAGCCTGGGCGAGGGAAAAAGTGTGTGTGTGTGAGTACTTACCTGACCAAAAAAGAAAAAAACATGAGTAATCAACTTGTACCTCCTCTATCAAACTGTCGATATATTTTTTAATCCATGTATTAAATTGGCAGTTTTTGCTGCAAAAAGAGATGCAAAACAAAAGTACTGGTTCATTATGTATGTAATCTAAATTGTCCAATTGATTGATTGTCATGTAATGTGCATGATGACCCGTTTCATTTGGATATTTTGTACCCTTATTACTTTGGTTGGGCTACTGGATACATTCGATCGTCCATCCAATAAGACTTTGGTTCATTTGTGACAGATAATAATTACACGTGGAGGCTATTATACTGTTCTGATTTGTCTTTCTCGGTTTGGTACCATTCAACTGTCCATCTAAGATGATGGGTAATATTCACATGTGGATGTTATTACTCTTTTTCCTCTCCTCTTAATCGTTATGATAAATGCCTCTTCCCAAGATGATGCATGCATGCTGACAACACTTAGAAAGGATTGGAAACATGGAATCTTCTACATGTTGATGCTTTAGGTGTTAAATGAAAAGTCCAATAAGAAGCCTTCATCCTTGAAATAGCCTACAGCCTTCCCTGAAAAAACAAAAACCTTTGCCTCAAAGGACAATACAAGGTCAAATGCTGGAAATGTCGCCTCGGGTAATTTGTTATCCAAGAGAACTTTTCCATGCCAAAGTCAAACTAGAAACCTCAATTTTTTGAATGATATACAGGAAGAACTATCTTTGTAAATCATTGAAGAAAAACATGGTTTTTTGGGCATTGAAATGCTCTATGCTTTGATTTTGATACCCTGTTTAAGATTTTTGAAACATTCTACTCAGATATTCTACAAGTACACTGAAATCCTTTTATGTAATTTCGCTTTCTGGGTAATTTCCTTTAAATATTATTAAGAGTCTACAAGTTTAAGAAGTTCCATATCTAGTGTTTAAAATGTTTAGAGCTTTCATGATCTTTCTGAAGCCCTGCTCACATGATATTACTCATGCATGTTGAAATAAATAGAAGTTTGGACACTGTGTTTCCATTACTTTTACATGTATTTTTCTAAATATGCAGAAATTGGACTGACTTCACATAGCTCAGAAGAGGCTGAAGGAATATATTTTTGTGTGAATTGCCTCTTTGTTTGTGTATTTCTAGTATAAATCTTTCAATGCATTTTGGCATGCTGCTTTATTATGTATCTGGTAAATGAGATACAGTATTTGAAAATTTTCAAATGCTAGAAGTTCATTCTTTATTAACCTCACAAAGGGATTGCCTTGTTTTTTTAGAGGTAAGCATGGCACTCATAAGACACTGTTTGCGTAAATGAGAACCATATAAAAGGTAAAGTGCATCAGAACTGAGTTATTTGGTAGATCCTTGTTTAGGACTGAGGTCTTACCATCTTAGGATTATATTCGGTGGACTCAACCAAGTGGCTAAACCAGCGGTTTTGTAATTCTGTATTGTATTGGGTTAAGTTACTATGTTCATCTGTGTATGAAAAATGGAAGGAACATTCCATTAACATGGATCGTAATCAAGTATAGGTAGACACACTAAAATATGATAAGGACCTTGTAACAGTTCGATGGTTTTGAATATGATGTTAAATTTGTCAATTTGATTAGTAAAGGTTTGACAAATTAAACGGTGATGAGGATGATGGTGATAGATTAACTAATAAGTGTAGGTTTTCAAAACATGGGTGTCCCCCTAGTTGATGTTTTCTAGGATGTGTATTTTTGCTACAGGGCAGAAGAAAAGAAAGGGGGTTAGAGGGGGGCATTGAGATGGGACATGTCAGGATATGCATGTGGCCTGGGCTTCTGTATGGGTACCATCCTCATTGGCATAAGCCTTTGTACGTTAACCTAACTATCTCACCTGAGGCTACAGCTTCATTTTAAACTTAAAATTCAAGTTTGGCATTTGAAAGATGTGGTCAGAGGTAGACTTCTGAACTCTTTTACCTAATATATTATTTCGATATTTTTGCTGAATGATGATAACAGTATTGGTTTTAGCTGATTTATGGTCATGAGGTTAGAAGATCTCAGCACTCCATTTTTCTGATTTTTACTGTCATTTATTCGAGAACTTAGTTTTCCACAATGCCAATATATGATAAAGTTGGCTGATTCTGACTTGGGGTTATCAACCAGCTGTGCACCCGGACTTGGTCTAGATTAGCTAGTTTAAATTGATATCACGTTTAAAAGCATGGGATTGGCACCTTGGAATTGTAATTGTAATCGGAGGAAAATTAGTTTATCCAATACCTCCAAAAGTAACATGAGTGTTTTTCTAATCAGATTGCATCTGAATTAGATTCATCAACCTATCACATTCAAACCACTTCATCAGCAATTTTTCCTATATTTTAAAATTATTTTATTTAATTATTATTTTTTATATGTTTATTAACTTCTTAGAATTTGTTTGGCAGGTTGACCTTAGGGTTGTGTCCTCCTAACTTGGTCAAGTACAAGATGGACCATACAGGGTCCTTCATTTCCTTTATAGCTTGTAATCTGCAACATGGCATGAGCAATGGGTACATGGTACGTCTACTATTTTTTTGGAACTTCAAATTGATTTCTGCCATGGTGAGTTTAAGTCATTCTCAGAGGTAGTTGTGCATACACAGTGGGTGATATAAGTTATGGCTTGGTGGGGACATTTTGTGCATTATTATCATTTAGAGTTGGGTTTCTCTTTAACTTCATAATTTTAATGTTAAAGCACATAGTGGCGCTAAACTACAATATGCTCATCCAATACAGTTGCACCCTCCGGTAGATAATTTAATGATACTATATGCTAGAATGTGGATCTCACATGTGCTTCCTTCCTGATCTATATAAATACATCTGTGCATGTAAATTCTTAAGTGACATAGTTCATTCAGCTAAGATTAGTGTGTTTTCTAACATACTGCTTTTCATCCTTTTTTCCCCCTTCTTTTCTCTAATTATCAATTTAGTTGACTTTGGGAATTCTAAATATATGCAAGTAAACTGAGTCATGCCCTTATGTTAGGAATTCATGTGCAGGAACTTAACCTAATTATTCAAAATGCCAAGAACCCACAAATGCTAGCCACTCTATTTAGCTAAACACTCCATCACCATTGTTATCTACTCCCTCTTAGTTTCAGAAGCATTTTGAAGTGAAAATGCATACAGGTAGCTCAGGTCTCCCTGAAAGGTTGATCAAGATCAAGCAGGGTGACAAGTTCCCGAATAGGCCTCCGTCTAGGGAGAACGCCATGACCAACCCCTCTTTAGAAGTCTACTATGGAGGAGTATCTGTTGCTATTCCATTCCAGTGGGAATCTCAACCAGGGACGCCTAAAGTCAAGTTCCATGATGTCCCCCTTCCTCCTCTCACACCTCCACCTTCTTTCCATTTCAGTCCTGGGAACAAACCCATAAGTAAGCACTCAAAGTCCAACCTTTTACGTGATGTTCTTCCTAAGCTCGTTCTGAGGAAAAACTTTCTCCCTCAGTATCCTGCTTCGTCATCTTCATCACCATGGCCATCATCACATTCAGTGCCATGTTCTCCATGTGCTCCAAATTTACAGAGACAATTCGCATTGTCGAGATCTTCTACTGATTCTAGGATCGATGAGCAAGATGAACATGGATCGCCTGCTTCGACTTTCTGTTTTGGTATCGGTCGTGGTGCAAGTGCTAAATCGCATGGCTGCTCTTCAAGCATAATCAAAGTATTACTCAGAGATATCACTGCATGAAGCATTGTTATTTTTAGAATTTCTGGAGGCTCCTGATTGTAGTTTAAGGTGCAATATATATGCTTTGTTAAAGATCGTGTGATCATGATATGATAAAGAGATGCGTGATGGTAGTTATTGTTAATGTTGTAAGAAACAATGTTGTTCATAAGATGATTAGTTTGATGCTCCAATGGATGCTATCATCATTTCTTTCTTGTGCATGAAAAGAGGTTACTTATTAGGGCACTCTTTTTTCTTCTTTTTTTCTTTTTTCTTTTCGGGTTCTTGGGTTGGTCAATGGTGGGTTGTTGGGTTTTAACTTTTAACAAGTAAAAATAGTTTTGACCTCTAACTCCTCTTCTGGTTGATCATGGGAGATTTAAAATTCTACACCGTCTAAAAGAATGCGTTGGAAGTTTTTTTTAAGCATTTATGATATTCATAAATCATTAAGGAAATTGTCATTAATTTGTAGCGGATATATAGTATATACAATCAAAGCAATCTATACTTGTCTAGATCTTTGTCTCGGTGAATTTGGGTCTTAACTCTCAAATTTCAGGTCAAGGTTTTGAGACCGATAACTCTTTAAAAAATCTAAGCAACCTCCCATTAAAAACTCCTGCATCGATCTCTTTAGCTTTACAATTGAGGAAGGGCATAATAATTTTTAGATGAAGCTACTATTATTTGTTTAATGAGTGAAGTTTAAAACCATGTTAACTTTTATTTATTTATTTACTTATGTACTTGAGGTGTGTAGCATGGAGAATGATATGTTTGTGAAAATTAAGAAAAAAATGGAACAAAAATACAATCCAAAATCTGAACTATGTACACAAAGTTGTAAGGATTTCACCACGATAAGAGATTAAGAGGCTACATAAAATTAGAAAGAGTCGAGAATTTATATATTCCACCACCTCCACTAAACTGTTGCTATAAAATTAGGAAAAAATAAATAAATTTAAGCTCCACACTTCTTATCAGGATAGTTGACTACATTGTTTATGATGCTGAAAAAAACAGTCTGTATGTGTATATATATATATGTCTGCGCGCGCCCGCGCGCGCTATATGTTATGAAGAGCACATGGTATTGGAATTTTTTTGGTTCTCATAGGAATGTGCGATGTGGATGGTGAGAGACGAAGAACAAAGTCAGTAGACCCTTATTGAATAGATGCGCACCCTCACCAAATTGTAAATGTGCACACTGATACACCACCACATTATCTAATGTGAGATTTTAACCTCTTGAGAAGATAGTTGGATCAACCCCTCCTTTACTAAGCCTGTGTGTGTGTGTGTGTGTGTGTGTGTGTTAGAGTGAACATTTTAATTTGATATGACAGTCTACCCCTCTTCATTAATTGTAGTCCTAAATCTAGAATGGCAACCACGTGCAGCTCATGAAATCACATCAGGTGCGTGTGGTAAAGTGATCTGTTACTGCCACTGCACTGCACTGCACTATAATAATATATCTTATTAATTTGCATTTATATGTTCTATTTGAGGTTCTGAAACAGTTCCATTGGGGGTATAGTGTCAGTAAATGGCTTAGTCACACAGTTGGCATCTTCTGTTGAAACATTATTGCTATTTAATTCGAATTCTTTCCAATTCACTGCCTCAATTCGAATCCTTACTCTTCAAATTTCAAACATTTTGGTAAGGGTTATCAAATTGTGCATATGTATCCAATAATATTAATAATAATATTAAATAAATAGCCCCTAAATTATACATGAAATTTCTGTGCTATATTATTGGTAAAGGAGACAATATTTCATTGCCTACAAAGAACTTAAAGAGAAACAAGAAAAATTAGTTAGAGTTTAAGAAACATGAGATGTTTGAAATTCTATCATGTTATGTTTGGATGAGTGAATCAGTATCTTGAATTTGGAATTGAGACTGTGTTCGGCTACATAAAATTGAAAAAAAAGAAAAAAAAATAGTTCAATTCTGTAAGTTGCTTTTCTCTAATTCCAAAACTCCAATTCTATGCAATCGTTAATATTGAAACTGAAAATGCTATGGGCATATGTGGAGGTTCAAAGAAAGAAAAATGGAATTGTAAATTGTAATTAAGGTTTTGTATTTATAATTTGGTGTTAGAGTCTTGAATTTCTGTCAAAAAAGAAAAAAGAAAAAAAGAAAAAGAACAAAGAAGATATAGGGGTTTTGAATGATAGTTGGATTTTGTAGTAAATGCCAAAAACTTTTGATTTGAATTTAGGGTTTATTGTCAAGATTATTTGATTACATTAATGGCATTTGAAAGGATACTTAATGGTAGAAATAAATGGCATTATGGTAGAAATAAATGGCATTTTGGGTAGTTGCAGTGCTTTGGGCCTTGGGCTGGTACAAACCTAAGGCCACTAACCAAGTCTATAGTTGGACTCTTACCAGGGCCCAAATATAATCAGTTTTTATCTTTTTGGGCCAGAGATCTAATCAGGAGAAAATATTTTGCTGATATACGGTTCTTCAAATACTCTATCGTTAGATTTGAAACTGATGCGAATACATAATATTTTGAGAGAGATCCCCATTTTTGGGGGGTAAATTTTGGTGAAATTAAGGTTTATTTGTCAATAACTCCAGTTATCGTAAAATTAGGGTTTATTTATTTATAACTCCCACTTATCGTACAGTATTTGTTTAATTATTTGTATTATGACCGACAAGAAGATTTGAACCACGGGTTTGCCTACTGAGGTCTAGGTCTAAGAAAACTCATACTAGTTAAAAACACGAGGGTTAGTCTTTTCTAAGAAGTTTAGAGACATGGTTTTGAATGCATTCATTTCAATATGTCTTGTCTTCTTTTTTTTTTTTTCCCTTATAAGAATTAAAATTTTTATTAAATGGATCGATTCAATGTATATGAATATGTCTTACTTCTTTTTTTTCCTTTTAAAAATTATTAAATGGTAATGATTTATGTATTATTTATTTGGCGGTTTAGTCCAATCAAAACGAATGTACTAATGTTTGACACTCTGATAATAAAGTGGACAAGTGAACGGTATGGCTTTAGTTACTCTCAGATATTATGGACACAAAATGGGCATTAGGTTTTCATTTTGACCTAGTCCATACTCATTGACCACTAGATGCGTGAAATGAATGTTTGTTGGGACTTAGCTAGATATTGAAAACGTGCAGTGGTTTGTAATACCATTCAACATGGAAGGTTTTTGAAGGAATGATCATGTTGCATGTTCAAATTTGTTATTCGGTGATTTGAAATAATAATAATAATAATAATAAATAAATAAAAGAAGAAGAAGAAAAAATGAATATCACACATGCTACGATAAAGAAGAAGAAGAAAAAATGAATATCACACATGCTACGGTAGGTTTAAAGGGAAGACTGAAGACTAACCTACTCTTTATATTTTAGATAAGTAAATGTTTAGAAATTTGAATTAACTTCTTAACACCTCACTATTGTATGAAATATCAACAATTCCATTGAATTAATATAGTGAGAAATTGAGAAATGAATTGGCTAGAAATAGAGCACATGGTTGAACTTTATATTTGTACACATCAATAACTTTTAAGTTGGTGTAGCAGGGCGGAGTCCGGATTTCAATTCAGGGGCACAATGTCAAAAACAAAAAATTATAGAAAAGAAGAAAAAGAAGGAGTATTATTTTAAGTAGTAGAAGAAAAAGAAAAAAGAAAGAAGCTAGAATGACATAGCTTGGAAAAGAATTAGAGCATAATTGAAGCATGATAATTTTACTTTTTTAAGGAAATTAAAGAATTTAAAGAGAGAAAGAGGAAAAAAAAAATAAAAAGTTAAAAGAGAAATTTAGAAACTAAAATAGTTTTAGGGGGTATTATATACAACTTTTCATATATATATATATATGTAAAGAAATAAAAATAAAATAAAATAAAATAAAAAACCATAGTACATACCCTTGGTGTACGTTTTGAAACAATGAACATTAAGTTCATGTAGTATAATCTGCAGATGGGGATAGATCATTGCAATTGTTGGTCTTTAACTAGGATTTCCTAGTAAGCCAGCACAAGTCATCAGATTGCGTTGATTATGTCCCTGCCCTTTGTACATACTGTTTGTCACTCCTACCGATTGAATGGTCCGATAAAATATTCGGATCATGACAACGTGAGCAATTCGCTGTCGGAGACGTCGCGAGAATTCTACCCAATCTTATAATATTTTGGATGTGTGTGCTTTGTTTAAAGGTTTGAAAAAAATAAAAAATAAAAATAAAAATTAGAAAGTGAGTAGGCTAGAGAAGAGGACAAGGGTGAACTTTTACCATTGTATGAATGAGTGTAGGTTTAATTAAGTGGGATTTGAAATGGTGAAAGATTGAGGCAAGATTGCGACTTTTTAGCCTTAAGAAACGGGTCAAACAAATCAGATGGGTCCATTTCCTTGCATTTAAAGCAAGTCTAATGTTACTTAAAAACTTCTATCACTCCCGAGCTCAATATATATTTATACCTCTTTTTAGGTTTCCCTCCTTTTCTCCACCTACCTTGATATCAACACCACCCTTCGAACATTATCTTCTTTTTTTTATCACTGTCTTGGTTTAAGCTCAATCAAATACTATTGCTTATTTATAATAGGTTATTTCATTGGATTTGGGCTATATTACCCACTTAAACTTCATTTTAGAGTTTCTTGAGAAAAAAAAAAACTCTAAAGATTCTCAAATGTGTTTTAGGTCTACAGTAGCCAAAACTATAATGGTCCTTAATCTTTTGCATTAACATTACGAATGAGACATTGGTTTCTGTAGATTATTAGGTTTTGCTAGCATTTCAGCTCCTTTGTCTCATGTGCTGTGTAAGACAGTGAAATTACCTAAATGGCTTCTTAAAAAGAGTTTTTTTTTTTTTTTTTTCCTCCGAACAGTAACTTCTTAAAAAGAGTTGTTATCTTATGCTAATACTTGAATATTTTGGGATGGGTAGATGTATATACTTGAATATTTTGGGATGGGTAGATGTATATATAAATCCTATATATATATCTTTTGGTGATAATTGCACAAAGTGAATCCAAATTTTGGGGAGCAAATTGTTCTTGTCAATAAATCGCATCCGTTGAGATCCATACATCAGACAAATTCACACACTCCAAACTAGCTGCAGAATTTTTTTTTGACAAAATTGTGTAAAGACAAAATTCCAACTAAGACTTTATTAACAAACAAATCATAAAAAATGACTCCCAAACTAGTCTTAATTAACAGAACATTAATTCTTTGCTTTGGGCATATGACGGATCAGGTAGGTCATTGATATGGACAAGAACTAAGAAATTCAGCAATACAAATTCTAGTCCATCCTCAATTTCTATATTCCACCCCCAAATTTTTTTATAATTACTCAGTACATGTGAAATGGGGGACTGAAATACGAAATGTTTTAGAAGGCCCTAGAAGGCCCCAAAAAAAAAAGAAAAAAAAAAATTCTATATTCCATCTTTCTCCTATCCCTCCATTTGCAGCTTATAACTTTGGTGCTCTTGTCAAACCCTCATTTTCTATTAAGTACACTTCAAAATGTTGATGTTTAAAAATCCAAAGCCCTAGCTTTAATAACTATTGTACGTGTGAAGCAATCCCAGTAGTTTGCTGTGAAAAGTCAATAGCTGCAAGGAGCCACACGTGGGCTAGCTAGCTTTGACAGAGCTGGCATTCTCTCTCTCTTTCTATTTGTGGAATTAAGGTGCAAACAATGGTGTCTCTATCTCCAGACCTAGCTGGATATATCTTCTATTCCAAGCAGTACTTCCTCGATCCTATAGACCATTCCAGTACTATCTCAACTCTAGCTAGCATATATCACCATCTCACATAGTTATCCTTGTGTTTCTTTCTTATAAAAAATAATTGACCAACTCACTAGTTATATCTTGCCTTTTAAGCACTCTTTTCCTTCCTTCCCATTCTTCTTTCCTCCCCCCTTTTCAATTCTCTCCTCCCCTTCAAGTACTCCATCTACCCACAGACCACACTTGCATATATGCTTGGATGTCCAGAGAAAGGTAAACGTCAAAGAGATCTAATTCAACTCTCTATCTCTATCTCTCTCTCTCTATCCTTATAATAGCTAGCTAGCATCCAAATCTTTCCCTATATGGATTGGATTTATGGACTTTCCAACTAAGGTGATCCTTATGAAATATACATCTATCTCAATCTCGAGATATATACTAATCGATACATATTCTTGTATATTGTTTGTTAGGGAGAGATTTCATGAGATAGGCAAGAAGATCAAGAGAGAGATCGATGCCTCTTCTCAAATGGGAAGGAGACACATGTTAGGTCCTCCAGGAACCTTGAACACTATCACACCTTGTGCTGCATGTAAGCTCTTAAGAAGAAGGTGTGCTGAAGAATGCCCTTTCTCTCCATATTTTTCTCCACATGAGCCCCAAAAATTTGCAGCCGTTCACAAAGTCTTCGGTGCCAGCAACGTCTCCAAGATGCTCATGGTAAACCCTAATTCTCTCTCTCTCATATATATATATATATATAAGGTCAACAAATTCTTTGGCACTATAGATCACAGACATAAGATTCATGTTCATACCGGTCATGACAAAGTTTTACACTGGATACCTAACGTTGGGACGAACAGTGTAAAAAGCAATTTAGGCGGAATTAACCTTTGGCACTATAATATATAGATATATAACAAAAAAAATTAATATTCACCCTCTTTATATATCATCTTTGAAATTGAAAGTATTAATTTTGATGGGTAATTTAGGAGGTGCCAGAGATTCAAAGAGCTGATGCTGCGAATAGTTTGGTTTATGAAGCAAATGTGCGGCTTCGAGATCCAGTATATGGATGCATGGGAGCAATTTCAGGTTTGCAACAACAGGTTCAATCTTTACAGGCTGAGCTTAATGCAGTGAGGGCTGAGATACTGAGACACAAATATAGAGAGGCTGCTACTAATATCATTTCTTCTACTCATGCTGCTTTAGTCTCTTCTGGGGCCGTGTCGCTTGCTGTGCTGCCACCGGCTCCTCCTCCTCCTCCCCCTCCACCTCCTCCGCCCCCGCCACCTCCCCCTTCTATTATTGTTGTTTCTTCTAATTCTACTTCTTTGTACACACAGCCTTCTGCTACAGTGGGATATAATTCTATTCCCACTGATAGCGTTCCATATTTTGACTAATATATCAGTCATACTTAGTTCTGTCTTCACTTTATTTTCAGAATCATGTTTGCTATAGTAGAAATATTATTACTTTGATCAATATTGGAATTGACCTGTTCTTTAGTTTGACAATCCATTTCATGGCTTTGAAGTCATAACTTAGAAAAAGAGATCGAGCATTGGGTCTTAGAACAACCATTTGATCAATATTTGAACAACATGTTACAGGATTCAAAGTCTTCACTTCTTTTTACAATTTCTCAGCAACCAAACGGAGCAAATTTGAAAAACTCATTTCTGAGTCATGGGTTCTTTCTTGTTTTTGTTTGTTGATATCAACCTCTAATGATTAAATCACTTCTTCTTCTGGCCTTTAGCCAAAAAGAAACACACCCTTTTAAGCTTAAGCCACACACAATTACAAAATGTCTCGCATTTAAAACTTATTTCATTACTCAAAACTATCGGCCAGTATATCATGCTATTGATATGTTCACCCAATAAAAAGACTTTTTTAAGTAGATGAACGGTGCATTTTTATTAAATGAATGTACCTGCCACCTGTGGTATACGTTACCAATGACTGTAGTATGTGTGACTCACCCATTACGATAAATTAAGTGATCGATTACTGATGTTGTAGCTTTGATTTTCCGAGGAGTCTTGAAAATTTGGGGTGAGATTGAGAGTCTTGCTCAGTGGATCATTGCACGTGTGGGGTATATGCTTTTGACTGGACTTTAAAGTCTATGAGTGTACATGTTAGTCTGTGTCATATTGATGGCCCTTCATTAAAGGATTTGGGGGAGACAAAAGGTATGGTAGTTGTAAGTTAGGAACTTTGATTTGAAGTCTGATCATAAGACTCAATAACTAGAAAGCTGTAACATTACTTTTTTTTTGTTTCTCGTTTTGGTTTTACCTTATTACCCTTGTATTCAAAATGTTGTTTTGTACTTGCAATCAGCGAGTAATTTGCACAGATTATCTCATACTGGATATCTAATTTATATTATAATGTGTTTGAGAGTATTAAATGGATATCTTGGAGAAAATTTGATGGTTGCTTTATTATATATGTAGGGCTTGTTTGTTTCGAGACTGTATTGTCTACTTACTAAGCATTGTTTTGGAAGCAAAATTTACAATAGATATATGTTGGAAGCCCTTGTAATGTTTATGCACCCTTTTTTGGCTCTTCTGGAACCATAATTAATTATGTGCTCTCTCATATATATATATATATATATATATATATATATATAAGTCAAATGGACATATACAAGCTTAAGTTTTGGTAACTTTGACAGATCATAAAAAAGAAAATGAGTACATTAAAAATTCATTTTAATTTCTTCTAAGCTGGGAAATTTTATTCTTGTATATACACACAAACACGTTTAGCTAGCGAGGTGGTCAAGGATAATATAAGCAAGGTTTGACTATTTGACAAAGTTTGTCAAGCTTCCTTAATTGGCGTGTGGAAGTAGCTGATCTAGAGTAGTGGAGGTGATAGGTAGGCTAGGGACTGAATTATAAAATATTATACATGAAAGCAAGGGGTTTGTGTGTGTGTGTGTGTGTGTGTGTGTGTTTGTGTTTATGTTTGTGTATATAATATATATTGGCCAGCAACCTATAGAGTTGTGAATGTGAATTGAGAGATGGAATTTGGTCTGGAGTCGTGGTTGCTTGAAGTAGTCGCATATTTAGATTCTCTATAAATTCAACACCAATCCACATTTCTTTATTGAACATATGCTCAAAACACTTTCAACTTCATTCCTCCAAAGCCTCGTTGATTACACTATCTAGCTACAAGAAGGTATGTATTAATAGAGTGAGAAAAAAAAAAACAAAAAAAACAAAAAACAAAAAACAAAACAAAAACAGAAACAAAAACATATACATGTATTAATTATTGAAAAAACTCGTGTTATGCTATTTTCTTTGTACTAACGATCTCTAAATTATCATTTAGTATGGATAAAATTAGGGGCGGAGCTCCTCTGGGCTAAACTGGGCTAGCCCAGGTCCAAAAACTAAAAAATAAAAATTAGTATTACTATTTTTTATTAGTTATAGCCCAGTCCAAATTGCCCAATCCATAATAAAACATAAATAATAAATGGCCTAACTCAGAAAATAAGCCTACAAACAAATTAGAACTAGAAGATTAAAGAAGACCTAGGAGCTGTTTGGCATGATGTGGTATTGTTTTTGGTATTTTCATTTTCTCTGTTTCAATTTTTTTTTTTCCCAGTAAATTCTCTACTTAAATTTTTTCTTTAGCCCCCTTATTTTCAAATGTTGGCTCCGCCCTTGGATAAAATTGGCATACGAAAGAAAATAATTTTTGATAATTTGAAAAGATCATTGATACACTTACCCAATAATAATGCATTAATTTAAAAAAAAAAAAAAAATTGACCGATTTACTTATAAGCAATTAAGCAAAAAACCACGACTCCACCCAAAACAGGAGTTTTTAACCAACAAGGAAACCTGGTATAATTTTAGCTAGGGAGATTGCCCTTGGCGTTTGTTGACTTTAGTGTAATATCCAAATTTTTTTTTTTTTTTAATAAAAATTTGTTTGCTTACTCCCGAGAAAAGAAAAGAAAAAAACAAAATTATCTTAATAAAAAATATGCCTTACAGAATATTATATAGTAATTAGTTAGTGGACCGATCATGATATCACTTTTTATATAGTTTTATTTGCGAGTGATAATTTCTATTTGATACAGTCATACAGATATCAACAAGAAAATTTAGAATTTGCTTGTGAGGGTACTGTGAAATTTATTATGTAGTCATAATTACTTATTGTAATTCATACTAATGATTTATAGTTTAAATCAACAAAGAAACAAATCTACCATAGATTCCATATTGACTTGAGTTAAAATCAAAATAGACTGCCATATTAAGTACTTTAATATATATATACACGCACAAAGTGGCACATAATTTCTGCCAAAAGACAGATTACAGCTTCCAACAGTAATTGAAATTACTAATAAGTCATCGTATGATAAGTTAACTAGTTTCGATGCCGTTTTATATACATACATACATACATATTTATATATATATATATATTAATAGATGTGTGTGTGCTGCTTATAAAATAATCATAACAAAGAAGTACATGGTGTTTATAATAAACTCGGAAAATAGCATATCATTGAAAATTAAGCGGAAACAGATTAAAGTATGTATTTGGAAAATTCTTTAAAGGATTCATGCAGGCAATAATGTTGGTTGTACTAATTGTTTTCCTTCAATCTCAAGGTGGTCTTCACTGTCAAATGAACATGAAGAACATCGTTCCAATACCTAAGCATTAGTTGACTTTTCTGATTTTAAATTTTCGTTGACAAGCCAAACATGTTTTTATAAATCACTTTCAGTTTCAGTATAAAATATGTTGCCTAATAAGTCGGCAATGCTATTTCTTTATCAAACATTCAGCTACGTCGATCTTTGGTTCTATATATATTGGAGTAATATATATAAATCATTTATAAAGATGGTGGTGCTCTCCCACGCACTATCATATGAATCTGTTAATCAAGTTGTACTGTTGTACAAAGCTACCCTTGAGATATCTCTTAATTGATGGTGGGGTCAAAAGTTGAAAACACAATAAATAGAGCAAGTACAGTTTCTGTTAAATTTGGAAAGAAAAAGGGTTGTAATTGGTGACTCGATAACTTAGTGATCCGTGGATATAATTTGATGACTCAATAACTCTATTAGATTATAAAGATCTTGTGATGTAACGGTATTTTATTTTATTTTATTTTCTTTTCAAAGGAAAAAATGAGGGTTTGAGTTTTTAAATGAGTATAGTGGGGTGTGTATAGATATGTCAATGAATGGAATTCTAATCCTAATCTAATCCGATTACTCGACTATAGATTGATCAAAAAATTCGATAATCCTATTCATTAATAAATCGGATATGAATTTATGTTGATCCGATTAAATTTATATATATATATATATATATATATTATAATGTTTTATATTATATATATACAATAATCCTATCAGATTTATATCGGATGTAACCAAAAACAAAAAACAAAAAAAATCATAATATTATATGTACAATAGTGTAGTGTTCTCGCCCATATACTAATAAATTTCTTAATATACTTATCAAATTAATAATGTCATAACATTTATTCACTAAAAAATAGTAAATGATCTATATTTTTTTCCTTTTCCTTCCATATTTTATTTATCTTTTGATTTTTATCATTTTTTTTTCTAATAATTGTTTTTTATTCTTTTTTGACATTAATTTTTTTTCTTTCTTTTTTTATAAAAGAAAAAAAATTACACTTTTATCAGATCGAATCGAATTATCAGATCGAATATCCGTTTATTAACAAATCGGATATGGATTTACTTACAAAAAATTCATTGGATTATCGGATCGAATCAGGCCAGAACCGATCTGAATCTGACCCATTGACTAGTCTAGGTGTGTGAGTGGCGTATGTGAGTTTCTTGCCAATGACAAAAAATAAAATAAATAACTCTGTCAAATTCCCTTTTTATACTGTTAAGAACTTCAAAAGCATCATTTCATTTGGAATAGGGTCCTCTGCCGTAACAATTGTAAGTTGTATCCATGTTGTGGTGCAAATAATGTATATTTTTAAAAAGGGTAATTTTGGAATGAGACAGAGAAAGCCAGTGGCATTATGGTAAAATATTAAAAAAATAATAATAATAAAATCATCTCGCCTCCCTCGTCACAGTCCCTCCATGATCTCCCTCCCTCATCACGGTCCCCTCAGACTAGTATAGTTCTACTGGGTTGTTCTGGCATCACCTCATCCCTGTCTCACAAGAGTATGTTTTTTGTACTACAACATGAGTACAGCAGGACCCATTAACAATAGAGGATGATGTTAGTCACATTTCTAGAGAGACCAACTAATAATCATAAAAATGAAAGGCTAACATAATGGTAAAAGTTCGAAGGGACAAGAAGAATGAGATCTCACTAAGGCCATCTACACTAGTCTTTCCGGATTTTGTCTCTTTAAAAATGTCACTTCAGCTTTTCCAAGAGACACGTCAGTAATTACAAGAGCTTTCGCTCTCCAAAAAACAAAATTTAATTAATTAATTTTTTTTTAACTTTTCCTAAATGGCTTAAGGCACTATTTGTGTCAGCCAAACAGTGCGTTAACAGCAGAATTTTTTTTTTTTTTTTTTTAAAAGGATTTTTAATTTATTTTTGGCCCAAATAAATTTTTTTTTGGGACAAACAGTGCCTAAACAAAAAAGGCAACCGCAAAAAGGCGCACCGTTTTGCAACAGAAAAAAATAATATATATATATATATATATATATATATAATGATCATGGGCAAAAAATTATGAGCCAGCCAGCGAGGCAAAGTTGGCCCCACGAATTTAAGCTAGCCCGTTGCGCGGCCAAAGGGCCATCTGCTCGCGGAAATGGGCTTTTCGCTAGCCGCTGCGGCTGCTCTAAGGTACCATGTATTATTTTTTCAATTTTGATGAAACCTGAAAGCCCTCCACGAATTTCTCTCTGATAACACTATACTATGAGGCAAAGGTGGACAGAAATCCGATACTTTGTTATAGTATTTTTCAATAAATTTAAATCATGTTTCAACGCATTTATTCTATATTTCAACACAATTTTAATGTATTAAAATACAAAATAATTAAAAATATCAAGTTAAAACTAGATTTAAGTCTGTCTAAAAAAAATATCAAGTTAAACCATTTTTAACATATTTGTTTCAGATTTCAACACAAATCTTGAACAAATATGTTAAAACTAGATTTAAGTCTGTCTAAAAAAAATTTACAGCAGACACACTGGTCTGACACTAAGACCATTGGACTCGATATTTTGGATTGTGACAGCTGGATTCATAAACCTGCCCAAAGGCCAAAAACTAGAGAATCACAACTTTCAGGCCCAAACTGAATTTGGCGTAAAGGACTTCTCATAGCCAAGCCCACAACCTACCATTTGCAACAATCTCGTTCAAAGCACCTCCGTCTGATGGTGTTTTTGATCATTATTTCTGTCGGATTAAACTAGGGGTGGGACTTGTGCGGATTGGGAGGGTTGGGCTGGCCAAGGGCTAATGCACGGATTTCCTCAAATTATCCCAAATTGTAATATCAGCATACTAATAAATAAACATTATTATATTTTTTTTATTATTAGAATATGTAACTACTTACACTTAAAATAAAATAAAAACACTAATATCATGTGAAAAAAACCAATTTATAATTTGAAAACTAGTGGAACATAATAAATTCCTTCTCAGAATATGAAAAGAACCCAAATCTTATAATCCTTATTATTTTGTTTTCTTAACTAAAATTCAATTACCATAATTTTTTTACTTGAAAATTTTAAAGCTAAGTGTGTTTAAGTTAGGTGAATACCTACTATAAATATTAAATAATCTAATTTTGACTTTATTTTACATATGCAATGTATAACATTAAAAATATAAAAATTACAAAATTTCCTTGTATTTCGGGTTCCTTGGATTGGTAGGGTTAGTAAAATATTTGTCCAAATCCCGCACAAAATAAATTTGGGCCCTAAAATTTAAACCCAGTCCCGTCCCATGTCCTAAGTACCTTGCCCAAGCTCTTGAAATTTTCAGGCAAGACCCAAGTTGCCCGGGTTACACCCACCCAAGTCCCAGCCGTAGATTAAACCCATATACGTATACATGCAAATGTATAAATATAGAAGTAGAAGAGAGCAACATTTTCCTTTGGAAGGTGCAAAATAAGGATCAGTTCATCCCCAGATGAGATTCATGGGCAAAAATTAAAGCACTCAAAATTCAAGCAGTTATCTGATTCCTACATCAAACTTGGAAGTTGTTTGTTGATATTCTACATAAAAAGGAACAAATCAAAGCTAAACATAGAGGAAAGCTTGGAGGCAGAAACTAGTGCCTATAACATGAACAAAAAGTTAGGATTTCATTTAAAATAGTTGGCCACGATCAAGGTGGAGTCTTGCAACGAAATCCTGTTTTTTATTTGTCGAACTCCCAAATGACTCCTCCATCCTCTGCAATAGCAGCAAAGATCTGTTAGTCAAAAGCCCTGCCTCAAAATGTGCAAATACAATTAAGAGTGAGAATGACGGATCTTTGAACTCATTTCGTGCAACCAAAAGTTAGCTACAATTATATTTTGAGAACAAAAAGATCCAAATCTCTCTGAAAACAAATTGCAAAATCTTCTACAAAGATGAGAAGATTCAGAAGAGTGCCTACCTAAACACACGCCCACAAGAGAGAGAGAGTTATTATATTACTCTATATGGATTAAAGAAACCACTCTCACAATATAGGCTTCCATGCACCGTTCAGTTTTACGTCCCACACACAAAAGAACTGTTTTTTTTTTTTTTTTTTTTGAAGTATAGAACGCTCTTTTCCATCTTTCTGTTGCCATCAAACTTGTTTCCTTTCACTTTTCAATGTTCAGCTAAGCAATAAACACAAAAGCCTCCTTTACTTGGACTCAAGAAAAGGATCTTGGATTTTGGCCAAAGTGGAGGAATAAGAAAAACCGAGTACGAGGAAAGAAATCCAAAGGTGAGATTCTTGTATTTTTTTAGCAGGAGAGTTAGTCTAATCTGCTTTCTCTACAAATGTGATACAATACATATTTACAATATAATAAATGGTTCGTCGCCCTTTAACCTCCAAAGCCATGATTTATCTGAAAAAAACTAACATATGTAATATATGCTCTACAAGTCAGTTCTCGTTCAAAAGACTATTTTAAATTTCATCCATATATATATATATATATGTGGGAAACAAACTGCCAAATGCTACAATAGCCATCCAACATATGATCAACATTCTGGAGTCTGGTTTCAGCCAGATGTTATCTTGCAAGTGTGACCATGAAAAGTAGATGATGTGGGTTCAATCCAACCATATGAACGGTAAATAATTCAGAGCAATGAAGGACACAAAAAGAAAGGTTATTAGCCGCTGAAACCCTACCTTTGACCTTCTTTTTTATCCAGATTTCTGCCAGCATTCCGGCACCAACTCCAGCAACAATCCATGTCCCGTAGAAGGCAATGGCCGATGGAATTGACCTTCGAGGAAGAAAATAATAATCTGGAATTTGCCTGATCTTTCTTGGAAGTCGTTTTTTTGTAACTGGTCCTGCACTGGGCTCGTTTTGCACAGAACCACCAATGTTTTTCCACTCCATCCCTTTTAATGGGCCTTTTGGCTCTTCAGTCCCCATGACAGGATATTAGTTTCACTACGGTTTTGTTCTGCACAACAACGTAGAGACTGTGACTGCAATATGCCCTTCCGATTTAACAAAAAGCACATTAAAAGTGGGGCCACAAATGTTCATATGAAAAGGGCAAAAGCTATGTTTGGTAGGCATGGAATTGAAACTTTGGAATTGGAATTGGAGAAAAGCAACTCAGAAAATTGAACCAAAATATTCTCCAATTCCAATTCCAATGCTCTAATTCTATGCCGCCAAACACAGCAAAAATGAATTTACTGGTCTCCGCAAGTGTTAGATCTCTAATTTGCTTTTAGAAAGAGTAATAAACCAAAATCTACAAAAAAAGGGAGAAATCAGGTAGGTAAGCGTTACAAACATCAATTTCAATCAGGTCAACTACAGGAATTGGGTGTTATATATTATATGCCTTAATTTCTCATTGTATCAACAAGACTCACTATTGAAACAAATGGCTACCAAATTTTATGCAATAAGAACTACTTGAATTTTTTGATATTTTATTAAACACATGTTTATGTGGCTTAATCAAGCGAATGCTCATCAGAGTACATGAACAATAATTTAACAAGCATGAAAGGCAAAAATAAGATACATCCTTCCAACAAAGGAATGATCCTATTCTCCCTCTTATTCCTAAAATATAAATTCAAACACAACCCTATATATTAACTTGGCAGTTGGTTGCAAGCATATCAAGGAAAAGAAAACAATATAAATAATTGAATCTTAAGATCTTTATGAATTTTACTGAAAAAATCTTTATGACTCATATTTTAAATGTAAAAAACCTTATGTCAACAAAGCCAACTAGTTATATTGGGCAAAGTGGAGTTGCAGTTTACTGTCTTCTAGGTCATGTGGAACCAAACATTCAAAGCCCATGGAACACCTAGACATACTTAACAGCACATTTCTTATAAAATTTTCCTTTGGTAATGGAAAACCATTATCGTCACTCAAATAATTTGCTACATAACTTTACGCGCTGAATAATTTTAATTGATTTCAACATGTAAACCGGAAAATTCTTAATTTCCCCTTATCAGGGTCATTATCAAATTTGTTTTCCCGTCTTTTTTTGGAGGTAGGAGGGGTGTTGGGCTGTGGATTATCAAATTGTTCCTGTGAACTAAAACAATGCCTAGAACATGGTTTATTAGTAAGCTAGTATCTAATAAATACTACCAAGAACAATAAATAAAACAATACCTATGGGGAGATGGGGTGTGGGTTATCAGTAACCTAAAAAATCTTACAATAAAAGCAGCACAAAAGCTATTTAAAAAAAAAGGCTTAAGAACACTCTCAACAATTTGTAGATTTGGAGTTGGCAACTGGGTGTAGCCAAGGAAATGAGCTATCTTTTGTATAGAAATGAATTAGATTCACACTTTTAATGGTCACATTTTGCACTGTTAATTTAAAATTTGGAAAGAGAGAACTCATTCCAGAGAAGTACAAAAAAAGAGGGAAAGATCTGCAGATACAATCCTTATATAACATACCAAGCAGCAGCAACTTCCATACTGTAAGCTTAATTTAGTATCACTTCTGTAATCGAAGTTTCATTTCCACTTTCCAACACTACCTGACCTAGTGAAATTCACCACTGAAACTCCATTTACTGTAGGGAATATTGGAAAAAAAAAAAAAAAAAAAAAAACACTTCTATTTATTTTCTTCTTCTTTTCCTATCAGAAAAATCAAGTTATTTTCTTTTTCAATGAGAAAACCATGGTTTATAGAAATGGTTTGTCACCAAATATCATAGACTCAGTTCTTAGGAATTCTGGCAGGGCTGCACTAACACCAGACAACGCCATGACATAAAAAATCTCACAACAGTAGCACAAAAAGAACACAAATGCACACAATCATAAACACACAAGCGTGTGTGTGTGTGTGTATATATATATATTGGATTGGAACCCACGAAAATCTTAAATGTGTGCCGCCCCAATTACCTAACCCATATTTCGAAATTGGCATAGTCTAAGATTATTCAGTTTGAGAATTCAATGTATTCTTGATTTTCCGACCACTAACCTTCATAAACTTGGAGCCTTCGATCTTTAAATTTTAATATTCATTTTTCAACATCGCGATATCATATTCTTTCAATCTTGATTTCAGCAATTTTATTGACAAAATATTTGGGGGCGGTTAGGGTTTACCTGGTGGTGGCAATCACCGCACCAGAGATGGCAGCGAGTTTGGCTGTCTTTGTTTTTCGTCGTCCAATAGGCCCAATAGGTCTTGAACTTTTGATTGTTGCAGACAGATAGATAAACTGAAATATATGGGTTTTGAACTTCTGATTCTTGTAGATTTTGTAGTTTGCAGTTGCATAGAGAGAGACAGAGAGGGCAAGTTCAGAGTTGAGAACGAGAATAGAGATGGAGCCGATTGGGGAGGCTGAAATGATTTGCCCTAAAATGTTTTTTTTTGTTTTTCATGGTGGCCCAGTTGAGGTCCTAAGCGACCGCCTTTGTTACCTTGGGTCAGGGCCGGTCCTGAGCTTATTTGGCTTGGGACTTATTTTAATATGGTGACTGAGTTAATCTGGGCTTGATTAGGTGGGCTAATTTTGAAGTAGGCTACTACTTTTAATATATATATTTTTGAACTAGGCTAAAATTAGTATCACAAATTTATTTATTTAATTTTTTTTGGAGTGGGCAGCCCACCCCTACATCCGCCCTTACACAAGTCACAACAAAATTTACCATGACTCTAATTTCAATTTTATCACACTATTCTAATTATAAGGTAAAAATGTTGTTTTTAAAATGATCCTATAAAATTTGATGTAATAATTCAATAAACTTCGTTTTAATGAATACACCATATTAATTTTGTAAATGACTTGTTAGGCTCAATATTATTTAGATTAAAACGTGAAGTTTATATATCATGGTCAAGGGCGGATCAAGAATTGTTAATGGGATGAGTTAATATTTTTTGGGTGAGCTAATATTAGTAAAAAAAAATTTTGTGGACTCAAACCCACTCCTACATCCGCCCTTGATTCATTGTCCTATTAACGTTTTTTTTCTTAGAGTAAATGACTTGTTAGGCTCAGAATTATATGATTCAGTATTTCAACATTGAATTTATAAATGATGGACAAAGTTCTATTTATTATTTTTTTTATGGATGAAGTTAAATAGAAATATAGAAACATTAAAAAATATATATATATATATATATCATGAAAAAGAATCGAAGGGGTCAAAGAACTATTCGAAAAAAATCGAAGATCGAAAGAATTTTAGCTAAATTGATAAACAATTGGAGTTTTATGTTTTGTGAAAACATGTTCTCATTTAGGAACTTTGAATAAGGGATGCAAATGGGCCTGCTTAGTCCTACCGGACGCCATCCAAGCCCAGAAGAATACAGGCCATAAACTTTACACCAGGCTAGTGCTTGTTTCGGGCCTTTGAAAATAATTATCTTTTAAACTTCATATACTTAAACAAAACAACACTTGCATCAATAATTTGTATGTTACCTAAAAAAATTCATAGTTATTAACTTTATACAATATAATATTTTAATAATTTTGTTACCATTCCAGAGGGTCCAAAAGGTTTTATGATAGTCATGGCCCTCATGGGCCAAAAATATATGCATTCACTTTAACTTTAATTATTGACTGACTTAACAAGATTCAATTTTTTTCAATTACAAGAAAAAAAAGGCAAAAACAAATATATATATATATGTATATCTTTGTTTTGTTTGGGATGCTAGAATTGTCAAATTGTCCACAAAAAAGTACCGACTGGGTCAACTCAAAGGAAAAAAGTAAAGACAATAATTATTACAGTGAATCTATGCCATATATAGCAGAACATTCTATCTGAATAACATTTTATTGATCATGAAGACTCAAAAGGCTTTAAGCCCACAACTTAATCATGCACAATTGATCACTCTTAGTCCTGCTTAGCCCTTCCAAACCATTCTAAATAAAAAGAAAAAAATTGCCTCCCTAGTCCCTATAGTTTGGCAATTAAACCAAACTTGTTTTATTGTAATGGAAAATGAGATACCCTGTCCTCTTCATGGATTGACCTTCCCGCAGTTCTTCCTGATCTGGCCGTTGGATCCGGTAAGCGGACTGATATCTCCCATCTTGATCATTGCAGCAGAAAAATCAGAAAAGAAAGTGTTGGGGTTTTTGCTGTAAGTTTCTACGAGGGAATCAGTTGATACACCGTTGTGCAATTCTTGATCAGAGTGAAGAAGGCCTTTCTTGCTGATGAGGTTCTTGTAGTAGTTGTTGTCGAAAGCAGTGGGAGACTGAAGGTCCAATGGTGCTAAGTTTTGGTCTCCGGAGCCAATCTTGCTTGGGCAACTACCTTGCCTTGTGGTAGCAAAGGAACGGTCTATGTTGGTGTCATTGTAGACGTGAGGTCTGAATTGGACGCACCTTGCTTGCCCAATTGTGTGTGATCCTGCAGGTTCCATCATTTTAAATAGACATATACTATATAAGTACATAGATACACATATACGTGTGTGTATAGAAATTGTGGCTCAATTTTGATTCGGAAAGAGTTGCAACCCAATATATAAGGGCATAGAATCGAGTTGCAAACTCTCTTATAGCCCAATGTATAAGGGCGTTTAAGCATTGGGGTGAACACTAAAATCCATTTTAGATAGAAATTCAGTATTTGAGGGCTGAAACTTATAATATCGTATTATTCACATAGTGAAATCTTTAATCGGATCTTCACTTTAGAAGTAGGCTTTACGCTGAACTATATATGTAAATATTTGTGTTATGTAAATGGTGCATATTTATTAATAATTGTTCTGTCAAATTCTTAATTTGTTTTTGGTTCGTGGCGTTTGTCGATCGTAACAATATATTATACACAGATAGAGCATATATACCAGATAAAGCAACCATGTCCTTAACGGAGAGACCAACAGCTTGGAACGTAGAGATGAGGTTGCTAAGGCTAGATGAGGGAGCTGGGATACGACCACCGTTGGCACCAGAAAAGCTTGCTGTTTTGGAGTCCCTTCTTCCAAGTTTCACATTCCAACTAGGCCCTCCAAGCTGCAACACGCATATATATAGTAACAACATTTTCTTGAAGAAAGAAGGCCTATTGAAACATTTTAGTGCATGTTAGATTCAGTTCTTTAAAACTACTTGGAAGAATTATAAAAAGAGAAAACACCACTAAAGAATTTATGAAAAAAAAAAAAAAAAAAAACACTTCTAAAGAAAAATACGAACATTTTAGTGCGTATTTAATTCATTGATTGTTACAAATGGGTTAGTACTTACAAATTCGACGGAATCACGAGCAGCAATAGCTAAGATATCAGCACATGAGACAACGCCGGGACAAACTTGCTCCACCGTGGACTTGATATCATCGATCACATTGAATCCCCTAGCAGATTTATTGTTGGGACGGGCAGTCTGCTCCCCCGTGAAAGAGGAAGTGTCATCAAGGAGAATCGACCCATCACAGCCCTATTACCAAACATGAGAAAACCCATGAAAAATACGAACGACATTTAATTTATTAAATTTTTTTGTATTATTAAGGTCAAAATGAAGATTAGCTAATTTTACACTTAAGAGTTTCGTGAAGTTCATGATCCAATACTCAGAAATGAATTAAAAAAAACTACAAGTCATCATAAAATTTCATATTTAAAATTTCATGAAAAATTCTTGCAAGGTTAGTTTAAATAGACTACCTACTAGAATTCATCATAAAACAAAGTCAGTTTCTCAAAAAATTATTGCGGAAACATGATTAAATCATAAAATATTAAATATTTAATATTATTAGAGCATTCACTAAATTTTCTTCTCAGCATAAACATAGACCACGTAGGATAAACTTTGAGCATACATTCCCCCGTCAACCTACTTGTTACAGAATGCTTGTGTCACACTATTCCAAAGTCAGAATAGCTAACATGGACAGCTATAAATAATAAATGATTTGTTCCACCAGCTAAAAATCATTAGGTAATATAAGGATAATTTGAACAGCTTTTATGCTAGCAACTAAATTTTCACTTCAAACTGTTAAAATATAACTAATTGTTTGTCAAAATGACGTTATGTGATTAGATACATACCTTACGACATGGTACCAATAATTCGCACCGGAATGAAAGAACAACATCATATAACATATATGTGTGTGTGACTGAATGATTAGCCTTTGGGTTTTGAAAAGTCAAGTGTTATATGCGGACATGCATATAAACTTATAAAGAAGATGTACAGTACTATTAGGTAATTAGGGTATGTTTAGATAGAGAAAATTATAATATTACATTGACAAAGCAGTCATGGAAGTGGAGACGAAGGAGAGAAGCACCCATGCGCTTTTCCTTTGAGACAGCAGAACGAACCACTGGTTTTACTACACTTAGAACTTTGGGACAAGTTTTAGAGTAGAAGTTAGTAGAGAGTTGAGCAGAGCAGGAGCCACTCATTAAGAGCAGAAGACAAGCTACTACTGTAATTATGGCCATTTCAATTATATTTGCTAACTAGAAATAGCTGTTGATCATATATTTAGCTAGAGTAGTATATATAGTATGTTGAGAACATGGCAATATAGTAGAAGTTATATATAGAAGAGGGCGAATGGGGCATGTTTGGCACAAGCATCTCACCTTATCTGTTAGACCAGTCCATGGCAAAACTTTTCTACGTCTAGAAATTAAAGAAAAAGTTAGTATATAGACAGGTACGGCTCAATATAATTTGAGGGGCAAAAAATATAAAAGTGACTTCTTAATATCTAATATATATATTTATAGTCAATCCAATTAGAAAAATGAGGAAAAATTTGTCAAAAATAAGAATGAAAAAAAAAAAACAAACAAACAAAGGAGATAAAAGTTAAAATAAGAATATGAAAAGTTCTACAAATTTAGGAGAAAAAAGAAGCGTGAATGAGGAACTAAGAGAGAGAAAAAAAAGAGGTAAGATAAAGAATGAAATTTTTTTGCCACTATTAAATCTCTATTGGTTAGGGTTTAATAATAGATACAAATAAAAAATTTAAGAAAGTTATAATATAAGAGAATAAAAAAATTTGAGGGCTTTTTATGGGGCAGAGTTGAATAATAAGAAGGAAATAACATTTTTAAAAGGATTATAATATAAACAAATAAAAAAATTTGAAAGTTATAATACAAGAAAATACAAATTTTATAGTCTTTAAATGGGTCTGGAATGATAATAGAAAGGAAATAAAAATTTTAGAAAGAATATATTATGAAGAAATAAAAAATATTGAGGCCTTCTGCCATCCTATTAGTTGGGTCCTTAAGCAACCGCCTAAATCACTTAAGAATCCAACGGGCCCGCATGTAGATATGGATAAAATAATTAGCTGGTAAGATATATAATATATACAAAGTACTAAAAGAAACGTGATAAATTGTCAATTGTGGGCCATTCGAATACCTTTAGTCAATTGATTTTACAAAAATGTCATGCAGAATGCCAACAACTTCGATTAATCAATTGGCCATTCAAAAGTTCAAATATAATACATACGTACACTAATGAGAGAGAAAAATTTTCGACTTCCCCAGTGGAAATTAATAATATAATTGATCCAGCTAGGCAACTCTCTGATCTCACCTAATTGAGTTCCTACAAACTTTAAGGCTCAGTTTGGTAGAGTAGAAATGAGTTTGGTAGAGTAGAAATGAGAGAAAAAGAAAGGAAAAGTGATGAATGGTAATTAAAAAATTGTATTTGGTTAAAATGGGTGAAAGAAAAGGAAAGGAGACGGAAGAATTTGGAGGGTTATGTATAACTTTGTACAGTAATTTGTTTATCCTCCCAAAAATGAGAGGAAATGGAAGAAAAGGGAAGGCAATGGCTGAAGCAATATTTGTGATGTCAATTTTACCCTCAAGATTATATATACATGCAAGTTAGCAACTGCAGAGAGAGTGAGAGACGGCGGGCTAGCGGCTAAAGCTTGCGACTGGCGAAACCCGAACTGGAACAACGGCGATGGAAATTAAAAGATATGAGTTTTGATTTTCTGAACAATCTGAAATGATATACCGATACGGGTTTTGAACTTTTGATTCTTGCAGACAGATAGATAAACTGAAATATATGGGTTTTGAACTTCTGATTCTTGTAGTGTAGGGAGAGAGAGCCGGGGGGGGGGGGGGGGGGGGGGAGTTCAGACTGGAGAACGGGAAAGGAGATGGAGGCGAGATTGGGGAGGCTGAAATGAGTTGCCCTAAAAAAAAAAAAATTTCTTTTCTTTTGGGCCTGAGGAGACAATATAAATATACATATACATATATATACATATACATACATATAAACATACATTTACATATACATACATATACATATACATATATATCAGAGAGTTGAGAACTAGAATATGGAGGCTGAAATGATTTGCCCTAATTTTCTTTTATTTCTTTTCTTGTGGGCCTGGAGACAGTATATATATATGTATATATGTGTGTGTATATATATATATATATTAAAATATAAAAGGGTATAATGGTCAATATATTAAAATAATTCCCTTTCTTTTCTTTTCCCTTTTTTTTTCCAAACGTGATTATTATCATTTCCTTTCTTTTCCTTCATTAATCAACCAAACACAATACCAAATTAAAATTATCTTTCCTTTTCCTTTCCCTCGTAACTAATATTATCATTTCCCTTCAAACCTACCCTACCAAACATAGCCTAAAAGTACTCCATGTCCTTGACTCAATTGGGCTCATTTTTTTAGAATTTTGTGCTTAATTAGGCTGACTGAGAACTAGCAAGCGAGTCGCGACTGTGAATATCAACAATGTCGGTAAAGCAAACTATTAAAATATGAACCCTGTCGAAGAATGTTAATTAGAAAGATAAAACAACCATAAGCAATCTCAGAGCAATTCAGATATTATCCAATCAAATTCGGGCCTGGGTACTTTTGTAACACCTCCTATAAGTAAATGTATAATTAATCTTTAACTACACAAATTTTCAGAATTCTAAACAACTTGTTAGGATTACACAGCCAATTATCCTAAATTATTAAGATTATTATTATTATTTTTATATGGTCTAAAAAATTCACATAGGATGACGTTATTCAGACTTAATAATTTAACCGAAGAGTTTAGCCGGGAGCTCCTTATTTACATATATTAAGTTTCAAAACACTCTTTTCGGTGCAAGAAATAAACCCGTCTTGCACGTCGAGAGATGGGCAGACAGCAAACAACATAGTTTAAATTTGCAAAAATGGAAGTAACCCAGAAATAAACAAAGAACAATACTTACCTCTGCAACGGTAGGAAGAACCTTCTCCACACTACTGATTATGGCACAATGATAGAATGTCGACACGTGACAATTTTAAATATAAGAGAGAAAATTAAAAATTATTTTATTTTTTATTACATTTTTTAAATTTTAAAAAGAACATTGTTTCACACCAGTATAGATGAGCTTCCTCCATAGTCGTGTGTCGACAAGTATTGTTCATAATTAAAGACGTGAAAACATTTGAATCTAGTCTTATTTAGAACCAAGATTCTAATACCATATTAAATAATTTATTGTCCAAAAAGTTTAAACTTTTAAAATAATCAATGATTTAAAATATATACATCATAGCTCAAACAGTGGACAAAACTCCCACCATGAGTGAGCCTAATTGCTTTACCTTCACTTTTGTTATGAAAGATAGTTAGTATTCTTAGAATTCAAGTATTGATGAGTCATGTCTACTTTATTTTGGTCACTATGCCCTATGGTGATATCTCAACAACCAAATGTTCCAATTACAATGTATTGTACAAATATTTCATGCTAGTAATATAGCCCATGTAAAATTAATTTTTAATTTTTTTCACATTTAGATCTTTCCTGTTTACCAAAAGGAGATAAGCCAATATCAATCACATCAGACCACAAATAATTCCAGAATCAGAGAGACCAAAAACAGTAGTAAGTTAATTGTAGAATCAGAGAGACCAAAAACAGTAGTAAGTTAATTGTAGAATCAGAGAGACCAAAAACAGTAAGTAAATGAAATTTCGTGGATCATATGAAAATGGCCACAACAATCAACAACAGAAATCCACATTGTCAAGAAAAAGAAAAATAGTAGATTCTAGGCTGGTATCTTTTATCAAGTCTTTTTTTTTTTTTTTCAAGTCTCTTTTATCAGACTATTCAACCCCCATGTCAATTTTTCTCTATCCGTAGGATGATTACCCTGGTTGATGGTTATTGCTTAATGTAGGTGTGGTAATTAAAGTCCATGCATGTTCAGTAAACTAATTTGGGAAATTCATACAGAACATAATAAATATACATGTGGAAGTGATTTCTGAACCTAGAAGGAAGTCGGAAAACAGAGATATCCTCCAACTTTCTGCTTGATCTTTCACTCTCTCCACTTAACTCACACATCTGTTCAATAGGGCAAGACTAACCAAGAAAATGAGCAATCGTGTGAGAGTGGGGACCTAGCTATATATATATATATATATATATATATCTTATAAAATCCCTCCCATCAAGGAAACTATATACATAACACATGATAGAGCGATACATACATGTATATATATATTCTTAACTATATCTCTGAACACATGATCACGAACCCAAATAATTTGTAGTAATCATCTCAAGTGCAAATTACGTATTTTGTTCTGCAATTACCAATCCACGGTTTATAGGACTGGATTGAAACCAAAATTCATAGACCGAGTACTAGGAATTTTGGCAGGGCTGCATTAACACCAAACAACAATGCCATGACATACAAAATCTCACTACAATAGTACCCAAAAAAAAAAAAAAACAATACTCGAATACACACACACGCATGGGATAGGAACCCAATAAAATCTTAAACGATTATTCAGTTTGAGAATTCAATGTAATATTGTTCTTCCGAACACTAACCTTCATAAACTTGGAGCCTTTGATCTTAAATTTTAATAGCCATTTTTCAACATTGCTATATCGTATTCTTTAAATCTTGATTTCAGCAATTTTACTGACAAAAGATTTGGTGGTGGTTAGGGTTTACCTGGTGTTGGCAAATCGGCAATCACCGCACCTGAGATGGCAGCGAGGGATGTCTTTATTTTTCGTCGTATTCAGCAACAAACCCCTCTTCTTTTCATTTCTCATCTCCCATTTCTTTCCCTTTTCTGTCCTATTCGCGTTGGATGAACCAACCTCTAGCTTAAACCCCCAAAATCTGTGTTTGGCAAAACTTTGGACAGAAAGAGCAATGCTAGACGTGAAGATATTTCCTTCCTTCATGATAAAAGTCACAAAAATAAATTACCATGACTCTAATTTCAATTTTATCACACTATATTTATTTTGTGAATTGGAAAAATGCTTAGTTTTATTTGATTTAATAAAGTGAAAAGAATGTAAAATAATATTCAAATTTAATTAAATAGGCTTTATTTTAGTAAGCATGTAATATAAAAAAAAAAATCTTACCTCAATAAACTCACACGCCAATTTGTTTATTTATATTAAAATCGATTTTAAAATAAAGAAGATACAACTAGACAAATTTTTCGTGTATCATCTTGTTAATGAATCAAAATAGATTGACTATATTAACCTCTCTTTTTTACTTTCAAAAAAAAAAATGAATTTTTTTCACTCTATAATATACGGAGTACAATAATAAATACAATTCTTTTGAAAAAAAAATAGAGTTTATTATGGATCTGCTTAAGCGGGCCTAATTTGGTCCATTGTAATCTTCAGTCTGTGTTGGTTATTATTTATATAACGAATAAACAAAATTCAAACTTTTTTTGTTCAACTGCAAGGAAAGGAAGGGAAAGGGGAAAGGAAATGGTTTGCTTTTGTTAGTATTGTCAATTTGTCAAGAAGAAAGTGTTAACTGAGTCAACTCAAAGGCAAAAAGTAAAGAAAGGAAGTATTTCACTAGTGAATCTATCATACTATATATATACGCGAATATTCTTTCCGAATAAACATTTATTGATCATGAAAACTCAAAAAGCTTAAGCCCACAACTTTAATAATGCACACTTGATCACTCTTAGTTCTGTTCTAAAAAGAGAGACAAATTTCAAATTTCCAAACCATATGCTAAAGAAAATGAAAAAGAAAAAAAATGCCTTAAACCAAAACTTAAATTATTGAAAATGAGAAAGCATGGGCCGGCCTCTTCATGAATTGACCTTCCTGCAGTTGTTCCTGATCTGGCCGTTGGATCCGGTGAGCGGACTGATATCACCCATCTTGATCATTGCAGCAGCAAAATCAGAGGAGAAAGTGTTGGGGTTTTTGTTGTAGGTTTCTACGAGTGAATTGGTTGATCCACCGTTGTACAATTCTTGATCGGAGTGAAGTAGCCCCTTCTTGCCAATAAGGTTCTTGTAGTAGTTGTTGTCGAAAGCAGTCGGAGACTGAAGGTCCAGTGCTGCTAAGTTGTTGTCTCCGGAGCCACTCGCGCTTGGGCAACCACCTTGCCTTTTCGTAGCAAAGGAACTGTCTATGTTGCTCTCATTATGTACGCGAGCTCTGAAGAGGACACACCTTGCTTGTCCAATTGTGTGTGATCCTGCACCAGGTTCCATCATTTTAGTTTCACATATACTATATACATACAAATATATAGATGAGCAATTGCCTCCACTGAGCCCATCACAGGTCCGTGCGCGGTACATTTTATTCTAGCTAGGAAATAACACATGGAGATAGGACTACGCATATCTGACCTTTTCAGATCCCGTAGTGTTGGGAGTATGTATGTGCACTAGACTAGCCCTTGTATAAATTATATATATAAACATAATATAGAGAGAGCATATATATATATATATATACCAGATAAAGCAACCATGTCCTTAGTGGAGAGACCAACAGCTTGGAACGTAGAGATGAGGGTGCTAAGGCTAGATACGGGAGATGGGATACGACCACCGTTGGCACCAGAAAAGCTTGCAGTTTTGGAGTCCCTTCTTCCAAGTTTCACATTCCAACTAGGCCCTCCAAGCTGCATATGCATATGTAAGTAATAGTAATTAAAAACATTTTCACGAAGAACGAAGGCTAATTAAACGAAAACTGAAACATTCATTGAAGAATTATAAATATAGGAAAATACAAATATTTTTGTGCATGTTTGATTGTTACATATGGATATATTAGTACTTACAAATTCGACGGAATCACGAGCAGCTATAGCTACAATATCAGCACACGAGACTACACCGGGACAATCTTGCTCCACCTTGGACTTAATATCATCGATCACATTGAATCCCCTAGCCGAGTTATTGTTGGGACCGGCTGTCTTCTCCCCCTTGAAAGAGGAAGTGTCATCAAGCAGAATCGACCCATCACAACCCTGTTACCAAACATGAGACTCAGAAATCAATTTACAGGAACGACTATAAGTTTCCCTATGACTAGTTCTTTGAAAAACTTGTTGCGGAAATAGGTCTGATTATGTGACATGAACCCCTAGAAATAATAAATATGATTTCCTCCACTCGTCTTTTCACTTTTTACCGTTAAAATATACTACCTCCGTCTCACAATAATTGTCAATTTTAAAAAATTTGACTCACTACCACCTTTTATTTCTGAATTATTTGATGTCATTTTTAATCATATATATTTAATATACTTATATACTATCTATATCCCATACTAGAGGTTTATTTCGGTAACTTTGACTCATAAAAATTGTAAGTCAAAATTTTTGAATTTGACTACTAATATGAGACGAAGGGAGTACTTAGTTGTTGTCCAAATGACATTACGTGGTGATTAGACAAAGATACTAACCATACAACATGGTACTAATAATTCGTACCAAACTAAAGGAATAACGTGCATTATAAATCCTTTGAATTTTTTTGAAGTACTTAGTGTTATATATGGACATGCAATATATATATATATATATATACACGTACAGTAGTATTAGGCAAATAAGGGAATGGAGAGAGAGAGAAATATAACATTACATTGACAAAGCAGTCATGGAAGTGGAGGCGAAGGAGGGAAGCACCCATGCGCTTTTCCTTGGAGACAGCAGAACGAACCACAGATTTTACAGCACTAAAAACATTGGGACAAGTTTTAGAGTAGAAGTTGGTAGAGAGTTGAGCAGAGGATGAACTACTCATTAAGAGCACAAGACAAGCCACTACTACTGTAACTATGACCATAGAATATGATGAAGAAGAAGCAGCCATTTTAATTCTTTCCTAAAATTGAAAGATATAGGGCTAATATATATTGATGATGGTTACTTATATGTGTATATATATAGCTAGTGTGTGTTGAGAACATGGCAGTGCAGAAGGAGTTATATATAGATGGCCGATGGGGTATGTTTGGCACGAGCAGCTCACCTAATCCGTTAGACCAGTGCATGGCAACTCATTTCTACGTCTAGACGTTGAGGATCGAGGAAGCATATTAAATTAATGATAATAATTACAGTTGAAGAGTTTGAACGAAATAAAGAAGGAAGAGGACTCAGTTAAATGTATTTATTGGATGTGAGGGAGTCTTCAACTACTCTATATTTCGTTGATATTCTTTGATATTAACAACATTTGAAAGTACGAAATATGTGCCTTAAATTTGAAAAACTAAATCCAAGTTATGAGTATATTAGCGTATACGTTGAATGTGGAATCGAACTCTCTTTTTTCTTCAAATTCTTTAACGTAAAAACATTTAAATGCACAAAATTAATCCCTTTAAGATTGAAAAAATTAAATCTAACTCTCCATCTTGTTCACTTTTTTTTTGTTTTTTACTTATTTCTTTTTTTCCTTAATTGCATTTGAAAGAATTTGTGTCTTCAAATTAAAAAATTAAATCCAAAATCATTTAGTGCTTCCAATCAAAGCATTAAACTAATAGGCTGCTAACATATATTTCCAATTAATCAAAGCATTAAACTAATTGGCTGGTAACATATATAATACTATATACTAATAATAGAAAATAGAGGTAATCAATTGTCAATTGTGTGGGCCACTTAAACAAACTTTAGTGAATTGATTTTATCAAGACGCCATGCAAAGTGCTAACAACTTGTATTAATTTAATCGATTGACTTTTCAAAAGTTCACATGACATATATATTAGACACTATTGATAAAGAAATTCGACTTTTCAAGCAGAAATTAATAATAAAATTGATATAGCTAGCTAGGTAACTCTCATCTCACCTACTTGAGTTTCAAGAGTTTTTGACTCGGTGTGGCTCATTGTTTTAGAATTTTGTGCTTAGTTAGCTAACCGAACGAAATGATAGAAGCTTGTCGGGATAACTCAAGGAAAACGATAAAAATATGAAGCCTATGTTAATCAGAAGTAAAAGAGTAGGAAAATTATATAAATATATGTCGGGTTTTGTAAAGATAAAAGAGAGTTAATTACCAAAAAAATAATAATAATAATAAAAGAGAGTTCATTTTAATTCTTTATTGAGTTTCTATTGGACTCTATTTATTAGAATCACAACAAAAATTAATAATTTTTGTTAATTAAGATGTCCATTCAATGGATTTACATAAATCAAGTTCAAAAACACCTATTTCTCGTGCAAGTGCAAGAAATTAAACTAGTCTTGCGTGTTTAGTAGAGTGTAAATTTGCATAAATAGAAAGGAATTGAAAAATAAATAAATGTGCATAAATACAAACATTGCAAACACTTGAATCTAATTAATGGGTTATTAGTCCAATGATACAATCTCTCTTCCCTTAAAAGAGAGTTTTAAGAGATTGTGAAATATGTGTGTGAGTATTTACCTGCCTCCAGGAAAAATAATAATAATAATAATAATAATAATAATACTTTAATTTAGTAATATTTAGAACCAAAATAAGATCCTTGTACCATAATATATTAGACAACTTAGAATTTGTTTGGTTTAGTTCCTGAGAACTGTTTTTAAGTTTCATAAAATTGACTGTACATGAACTCATTTGATCGTAATTTTTTGAAAAATCAGTTAAAAATGAGTGTACGTTCAAAGAATTGGACAAAACTCAAAACCAAAAGCGTGCCCAATTGCTTTCCCTACACTCATGTTGTGAATAATACCATTCTTAGATTTCAAGTATTGGTGAGTCATGTCTACTTTATTTTGGCCACTATGCCCGAATGTGATACATCAACAACTAAATATTCCTATCACATTGCACACAAACTTAATATTGCATTATGGTAGGGTATATATAGTCCATGTAATTAAAATTACTTTTTTTTTTTTTTTTAATTTATCTACTTTTAGATGCTTCCTGTTTAGTTACCAAATTAAAGCAGATTAAGCCAATATGAGTCGCATCAGACCACAAATAATTGTAGAAGCAGGGATTGAACCGGAGGACAATGCAACTAATCCAGAAAGACCAAAATCAGTAAGTAACAAAATTTCGTGGATCATATGAAAATGTCCGCACTAATCAATGACAAAAGTCCACATTGTCCCTGGATTATTAGACCAAGTACTAGATTCTAACCCTCTTTTACCGTGCTATTCAACGCGGGTGTCAATTTTTTTTTTTATCCTTTCTAGAAAAGGTTGGATTATTACATTGGTTGACCGTTATTGTTTCGTATAGATGAGAGTAGATATTAGATGAGCCAGGTCAATGGCGGAATCAAAAATTTAATTGAGACACAACAGTTATTATAATAATAGGGGCCTTTTATAAATTTTGAAAATATGCAGGTTGGACAAATGAGTTAGAAAATAGAAGATATTTTTTAAGGTCTTTGTTGAAGTTTTTGGAAGTTCAATTGGACACTTTTAGAATTACTAAAATTGTATAGCAAAAATAGAAATAGTAGAAAAATCACTGGACCTAAAGTAACTCCGCCACTACGAGCATACCACTGTCTTACACATTAAAAATGCAGCATTTCATAATTTTGGTCCTATTTATTTATAAAAATTGCTCTTAACAAATTAATATAGTATATTTTCATTGAGTGAATATATCAACGTGATATGCCTGACTAATACTCCACCCTGTCTGGTACCACATTTTCAATGGTCACTTTTCTATACGAATCAAAGCAGATCAAAGAAATAAAGCTGGGATTGAGACTAGGGCATCTTGTTTTGGGGTATTTACTTGGAGTGATCAACAAGCAATCTCAAGTAGTTACGTCCAGCGGTGGTTAGGGGATGACTTTGGCAATTAATTTGGCATACACTATGCTATACATACAGCAATATTTTCATGTTCAATATGAACAATTAATTAAATTAGCACGGTATTGTCATTATTCATGATAAGAAATAAATTCAGTTTGTGGATGGCATAATCAACTAATTGAGCAGGTACTCTTTTATTATTTTTTTTTTTTTCTCATGTCATTATTATTTTACACTAAAATTTATTGATATTTTCAAAGTTAGGTATCATTTTGATAAGCTATTTCGTTAAGGGGTGATTTTCTGTCATTTTCTATCTATCCAAACAATCGAAGTCCATGCAAAAGAGAAATGGTCTAAATTATGATAGTGTGCTACCAAATCCTACCTAAATCATACATCCGATTTTTATTCTGTCATCTCTTTTCAACACCTAATCTTTGATACATCTCCTTATTGGCTATTCTTAAATAGTTATATATGATCACCAAGTCTTACCAAAAACCAATGGCCCTACCCTATCGTCAAATATATATTCTGTGTAGGAGGTTTAAATCTGACAGCAATTAATTATTGATTATATCTCATTCCAGAATGATTTTGTTATTTTCTACCGTCGTTATATATTTGTAACTATATAGTATATATATACATGATGATGAAGTTCAACATGATTATATATATATATATTACATTGACAACATGATTATCTCACAATGTCAAAAAAAAAACGTTTCAAAGGAAACTATTATAATATAATGGTGTGGGGGTTGTCAAAAGCATTAAATTTTCGTAGAAAAAATTGGACATTATTGAGAGTAGATTCCTCTACAATTTTTAACCATCCTCCAAGAGAATGTTAATTCTTGACCCTGATATATGATAATTAATTACAGCTATCACCGTTAAGTGATCGTGAAATTCGGATTCAAATCTAGTCCTCTATATAGAGGGAGAATTTTTATTTTTTATTTGTATCAAATATAGAGAAAGAATGAAATAACGTTGATGGGATATAACAATCCAATTGTAGAATGAAATAGATCGACTAACTGAATTTTATTAACCAAACCACAATTCAGTTAATTAATTTTTTTTTTTTTTTTTTTTTTTTTACATGGTTTATTTGTAGGCAGTTGAAAACTTGAGACTCGGGAAATTATTTTTTTAGAAAATATCTTAACCTTTATGGTAACCTAACAAAAACTCGAATTTGACGCATGCTTGCTTTATAATAATGAAATTTTGACGCATCAATCCTCCTGCTAAATTCATGGATTTTTTTGGCTCCAAATAAATATTTTTTTGTATTTCAATAAGTGTTTTTTTTTTTTTTTTTTTTTTTTTTGCAAGGTTATTTCAATTGGTTCGCTATATTAAAATATAAAGTATTAATTATAAAATTGAACTTATGCCAACCAAAATTTACAAATAAAATAAAATGCAGTACCTTTTTTCTTCAGTTGAAATTTTGTAAACCAGCAAGTACTCGTTCATTATGCTCATATGACCATCTTTTTTTATAACATCAAATTACATAACCTTTATATTTAAATATGTTTCTAAGTTTATTACTTTTAGATACACTTAGGCCCGTTTGTTTTTCTATAAGATATTTTTATTGTAGAACATTTTTCTTGAAAAAACTTCTACTTGAAGACCCCGTTTGTTTGGATGTAAAATATTTTTCAGGCATATTTTTTATTTTTATTTTGTAGTGTTTGATTGTCGTAAAATATTTTCAAAGTAAAAAAATATTAAAATTTAACCAAAAAAAAAAAACCTATTCATCAATTTTCGACAAGTCATTTTACGTGCCCCGCTCAATGGATTCAATCTCAACCTCAACTTAGACTTTTGGCAAACACCGAAAAAGTAAAAATAAAATAATATTTTATCTTAAAAAGGACAATATTTTTTTAAAAATAGATTTTACGTCGAAACAAATAGAGCCGAAAATTGTATTTTTCTTCTTATTTTTTCGTATTTGGTATGAAAGTGCAAAAGAATTTTGGAAAATAAATTCTTGAGTGGGCAAATTTTATTATGGGAGCAATTATAAGCCCAAATTATCCCTTGTTTAAACCTCTGGTATTCGCCCCGTTTGGCCCCATGCATTTAGGTCCCAACTCCATCAGGACTATCGGGACTTTATATATTAATGGGCACGGAAAGGCCCATGCGTTAAGTCAGGAAAACAACATAGGCTTTGTTTAGATAAATGAGAGGGAGAAAAAAAAAATATATATATATATATATATATTATTAATTATGAGAGAAAAGAAAACAAAGTAATGATAGCAATAATCTCTACGGATAAATAGAAGAGAAATGAAATGAAATGGTAATATTTTTGTTTGAATATGATAGAGGGGAGAAAAAAAAAAAAATGATAACATTAAGTAGAAGGGATATGAGTAAAATAATAATTTTTTTATTTTCTCTCATGAGTTTGAGATTTTCTATTACAAACCCTTCGCATTGCAATCGGTTATAGAAAAAGCTAAACAATTAGCTCAAACATGATAAATTAACCATAATTGTAAAACTCCAATTATTATTGGAATTTAAGGAAATCAAGTTGGCTTCAAATTACAACAGGTGGTGATAAATCTCAAAAATTTTGATGCCATTAGAATTATGCATATTTATTAATTGGTTGGCTTCTTGAGTCATTCTATAGATGGGGTTGCAACAGAGATGGCAAGAAATGAATGTGGCGGCTTGAATCATCTCTAAAGATTGGATGTAAAAGATTAGGGTTTGGAAATGGAGGATGTAGCAAGTAGTGGAGTGGTAGAGGTCGGTTGGCGGAAGAGATGGTGGGCATCAATTGGGATTTGGTGGGAAGAGAGAAAGAATCGCGAGTTAAAGAGAGAGCCCACTACCAGGTCTCACACATGCGTGAGAGAAAATCATTTTCCTTTTTGGATGATCTATAAAAAGATTCGAATAATTTAAGTTTAATTTTTTAATTTTTTTTTAACACGTATCATATTGTCATTGGTCCATATCAACATCAGAAGGAGAGCCCTGCTTATACGGCCTAAGGCAAGCTTTTTCCAAAATAAATAGAGCCTAAGTTAAAGTATCACTACCTACAAAAAAAAATGACAGAATTAAGTATGAAAGAAAAGTTGTTCGTAATGCTCCAAATGTCCTGACATTTTGAAAACGTAAACACAAAGGAAAAATGGACAATATCGAAAGTGAATACTTACGAAGAGAGGATAATATTTACAAAGTTGGGACTTTAATTGCGCCTGAAGTGTGACTGTGTTATTCAAATAATAAAGAGTAAGACCTTAAATGCCTCTTATGATTATAGGTTTGAATTCCCTTCTCCCATCCCCCTTAACTACCACTAACTCTCATTGGCAAGTGTGAAAAAAAAATAATAAAAAGTAAAAAATTCCTAGAACTATGCTTGAATTTGTAAATAATTCCTTGAACTATATTTTGTGCATATTACTCCTTAAACTATCACATTTTGTTGCAAAATACCCAAATGCCTATATTATATTTCATTAAATCACCATAATGCCCCTTCTTATTGAATTACACTTAAATTTTTCTTATTTAAATAAATTATGGAAAAAATTATACTAATTTGATGACATATTCCGCATCGAGTTTGCATAAATTTACCATTAATTTTTTAAATTAATTGTTTAAATAAAAATCTTTAGTAGAATCTTTTTATTTTTCATTATTATATTACATGACAAAAGGTATTTTTTATTTAAGTAATTTATTAATTTGTCATTAATATATTATATAAAAAATATATTTTTTATGATAAAAAAGTTTAAACCGGTTATAATAAGTTTTATTATAAATAATAAAATTTTAGTAATAGGTTCAGCTTTTAAAAAAATGCTAGTTACACTAATAATAAAATTAAAGTAAATAGTATAATTAATATTTAGATAAGAAAAAAGATAATAAAAATAATTTAATAAAAAATAAAAATTTTAATGAGAAAAGGTAAAATAGTCTTTTGTAGTGTGTTTATCCTTAATTGTAACAAACTAATAATTCAGGAGTAATTTTTAGTTCAAATGGATTATTTATAAAAGAGTAATAGTTCAAAGAAATTTTTTTTTTTTTTTTTTTTTTTTTTTTTTTTGCAATTTACCCATAAATAAATAAATGTGTCCAAATATCCAACCCTATATGCGGGAAGGGCCCACTTCGTGAAGTGAATTGATTTCTGTTCGGTTGTTTCCGACCCGTTTGGGAACTCATTCCGGCATGTACTCACCACAGCTTCCCCTGGCTGGTCGCTTCTCGTCGTCGTCCTCCTCCTCCGACTCGCACGCAGAGTTTGGACGGTTGGAAGCTTCTCTGCTTCAACTGATCAACGATCACCAATATACCTCTCTCAAACTCCGCCAACACACCGGTCACTTCCTCTCTCTACATTTCCTGTCAACAATCCTTCTTTTTCTTTTTCTTTTTCTTTTTTTTTTATAAAATTGAGCTAGGGTTTTGTATTCCTGACTGAAACCCTACGTGATGACTCAAATCTTGATTATTCTCATTTGATTTGACCACTGATTTAGAATTTTTTTTTTTTCCCCTTCTCTTTGCGATTTGAAAGAACAGAGAAAGCGAAGAAAGATGCGATTAGAACAGCGGTGCGTGTTTCTGATCTTTTAATGGATGCGGTGAATGGAGGTGTGCAAGAAGCTTTCATAAACGAGAAGCGAATCGAACTCGAAATCAGGGCATTGGCCTCCACAATTATGCGATTCGCCAAGCAGACCGATCACTGGCTTGCTGCTTCTCATGCTATCAACACTGCTGTCAAGGTTTGACGCTCTCTTTTCTCTTCAATAGCTTTTATATCTCTCGATTTCTATTCAATTATAGATTATGTAGTGTATAAAGTTCTTGATTTTGAATTGTTAGCATTATTGCTGGATCTCTATATAGAAATTTTTCTGAACACTAGTTATTCATCAACAATACAAGTTTAATACCGAATTGAAGTTAGACATATGTCTCTTTGGGAGAACTAGAGCTGTCTGTTTTAGGATTAGACATGATACTGTAGATAGAAACTCAATTTTTATTATTATTATTTTATTTATTTATTATTATTTAGAAAGTGACTCTTATATGAACTGAGGCTACATGGACTTCTTATGCATACAATGCCATTGCCATTTGCAATTTTGTCAATCACTCAAGTGTTGGTGAAATTGACTATGGAAAGAGCTTGGATTCAATATCTCTTTCTATTTCCAAACCGATTTTTTTCATGGAGACCTAAGGAAATAGGAAGGAGAAGAACACTCCAGTACTCCACTTCCCTACCTGCTCTTGTGAAGGAAATAGGTAGCTAATTTTAGCCGTGGAAGTGCGGCTGAGTCCATATTGGTGGTTATTGGTTAATTTTGACACTACTGTTAGGTTTAATTATGGTAGGGAATGATTTAATAGAGATGACCTAAGAATGCATTGTGCTTGTCCCTTAAATATTTAGTTATGATCATTGTGATTACACCAGGAAGGAGCAAGAGCTGTTGAAAGCATTGTAGTTTCGGTTGACTGCAAGGGTAAATAAGTAGTTGATTGATGATCAAAGCTAATGTCTGTGCTTTAATGATACCAAAGCCTCCCCTTGCTGGGCCAACTATCTCTGCAACTGGAAATGCTAAGTTAGTTGTCAAAATCCCGTGTCCTGTCCTATTCCCAAGAGAGATTCAATGGAATTCAAGTTTTGCCATTGTTTCTTAGTTGGATTTGAATGGACCTGATGTGCTTCTGATACCATTCAAACGAGCCTCGAATTTATGCAACACGTGGTTGATACAAGTGCCTTTTGGGATTCAAATGATTGACCCTATTTCCATTTGATTTTGTGGATCGCTGTGATGACTTCATCAGCAAAATGCATCTTCAAAGACCAAAATGCTCTGGGTTGATTCCTTCAGCGTTGGATGTCTAAATACCCAGTAGTTTTATGATTGCTAAAAACTTGCCAGAAAATTGAGAATCATGATTGGGCGGGTTATAAGTAGAAAAAGCTCAGGCAATATGATGATGTTATAATACAAATTTGTTTTAGAGTTAAGGGTTTTCTATCACATAGGGTAATCATGAAACTGTTGGGCAGTTGTGAGTCTGTTACAAGGAAATTTTTTTGTACGAATACTGGCTTCAATTTTTGTTGGATTTTTTTGTACCCGTTGATTCATCGGTTGACCTTGATTTTGTAGGATCTCCTTGAGAACGTCACTCTTTTTTTTTTTTTTTTTACAAAGCTTCTAGGCTCTAGCTCAAGTGGTATGTATCACCTCTTCTTCCCATATGAGAGATTGAGGGCTCAAGTCTCCATAGGAGCAACAACGAGTGTGAAAAAAAAAAAAATTAAGGATCTAGATGTCTTATTTTCTCTTTCCTTCTTTTTTTTTTTTTTTCCCATTTTACTAAATGATGATTTTTGTCAAGGATAACTAAATTCTTCTCTTCGTTACATATGGATTTACTTGGTCAGGAAATTGGAGATTTTGAGAACTGGATGAAGACTATGGAATTTGATTGTAAGAGCATCAATGCTGCAATCCGCAACATTCACCAAGCATGACCTCACTCTTAAAGCTATTTGTAATGTAATTCTGAACTCTTTTTTTTATTAGTAATTCTGAATATTTTGTAGAGGTTTTATCTTCTATGTACAGTCTCATGAAACCACTTCCCATGACAAATTTACCAGAAACTTATAAGAAAAGTCTCCTTTTCCCTTTGCTTTCCATGGAAGTTATTGTGAGGTTTGGATTCTTAATATGATTATAGATCACCGTCCATGACGAATGATGCAAATGTTGAGAAATTCTATTTGCATATGCAATGTTTTGAGATTGACTTAATGTTGAGAAATGCTTAATTTTGTCGTGCCAAATACCATTTGCATATGCAATGTTTTGAGGTTGACTTTGCCCATTCATATGGTTTAGATTTCTCATCAATGTAGACATTTCTATTCACCTGTCACTCTATTTGAATGCTTAACAAGTTTCGCATCCCAACACCACCAATCCTAACTTTCTACATCTATGTTGGGTTTGGGATTACCGAATCGGTGCTTTGGATTTGGGATTAGAGAAAGTTTAGTTCAAAATTTTAACAGTATATATATATATATTTAAATTCCAAATCCAAACCAACGATTCGGTGCTTCCAAACATAGCAATAGAATTCTTAGCAAACAAGCAGCCCCGTAGAAGACGGCCAATAATTAGATCAACCAGGAGGGATTTCAGGAGCTTTAGAAAAATAGGTGTATGCAAGGCTGACAAGATGTTAAAGGGTTAATTTTAGTTGTGTATGCAAGGCTTACAAGATGCTAAGGGTAAAATTTTACTCTTAATAATCTAAAAAACCATCTTTGTGTAAATTTGGTTTACTTATCAACTTTAAGGAGGCATAAACCAAACTTGAAAAGGTGCTCAGTAGGAACCCCATCTTGATCAAAATTGCTATCATGTGCCCATCACTCGCTACTGCTTGCGTGCTGTCTTAGAATTTGAATTCTTCTTCTTCCGACTCCATTTGGACGTCCTCTGTCCCCTATCACTCAGCAGAGCTGCTGCTGTTGATTCACTTATGTTCAGCAGATATCGCAATGGCGACAGTTCAGCAGGCGAAAGGTAGCTCTTCATGTACCAGAGGAGAAAATTTCATCCACAGTTATCTTAAAGAGGTTCTCCCTTAAGCACTTCGATTTCACTTTAGTTGTTGTTATGCTTTAATTATTTTTTGAGCATACTGAGGCGGCGAACCAACTTGCTTCTGCAGCTCATTAAGCTGCTCAGTCCTGACTTTCGTCGATTGTCCATCAGCTAAAATCACTTAAGCTTGTTGCCGAAAACCCTGCTCAGCCAAAGCTCCTCTTGTGTACATCCACGATCCACTTGCTAGTTGCTGGTCAAACCCAGGAGTCCTCCAAACTGGTTGAGCAGAAGAAATTTGGAATCATCCTTCTTAGTGGTAACTGAATTCTAATTGTTAACTGGGGTATGGAGCCTATTATAACAATTGGATAGTTTTAGGATTTTGCCAACATTTGAAAGGTGGGTGGATGAGAGATTTTATGCAATTTGCTTATATATAGTTTATTTGAGGAGTCCGGACTAAGTCACAAATAATTCAGGAGGATCACTGTAACGTTTTGTATAAAGATTTTATGTTTTTTATAAGGCAAAAAGTATTACAAGTTAAATTAGTAGAAACAGCGAGTCGAAGTCACTGCTTAAGGCATCTGCAATCTTTATATAAAGATACTTATCTCATAAATTAAATATAATAATATTTATATGCTATTTCCATTCAATTTTTTTAGATAAAATAGTATCAAGTAAGATTAGAGTTATCCCGGTACACTAGGCTCTTACCACTACAAGAGTTTGAAAAAAAATATTATCATATTTAATTATTTTTATGTCATTTTTAGTCAATGTTTTGGTAAAATAAAAAAGGCTGATTAAATAGAAATTTAGGCTGTTTATGGATGTTATTATGAACAAGCAAGAATTAATGTTTTGAATGTATTGTATAACATCTTACTCTATCCCACATCAGACCAACGGGCTAGTGGCCTAGCGGTATCGGGCTCTTACCTTTCAAAAAAAGGTCAGGAGTTCAAGTCTTAAAAAAGACGTGTGTGTGTGAGAGTACCAACTAAAAAAAATAAAATAATCCTTTCTAGAACTTGAAATTTCAAGTTAAACATTCATCTATTTATAAATATCATTGGGTTAAGATATACCTTCTGAGAATCACTCACAATTCTTCTAAAATTCAACTTTAGTCTGCCATGCAGAATTCTTCTTAGTATTTATGTGTAATCCTAGTAAATCGACATTATGTGACACCGTGGTTGGAACGAATGATATATCCCAATTAGTGATTACTAGTCTGCTACCCATTCTGTTAAACTAATACCCATTTCTTGTTAAAATAACAATAGGATCAGGAGTATACGACAACATCAACTTTTAATATACGACACCTTAAATCACACTAATTGTATTAGAGATTAATTATATGTCACGGTTATTGTGACTAATAATTTAAAAAAAAAAAAATTCAATAAATTTATTTCAAATATTACATTACCAATTATTTAATTACCACTATAAAAGAACAATTATTTTTAAATATAACTCTCCTATATTTGCATCCATGCACTCAAAAAGGAAATGCTACAAGGCGCACATAATTTTTTATAATTATAAAGGGATAATATTTACTAACTCATCTAGATGTCCTTTCTTCCTCATCATGGACATGATCCAATCATAAATATACATATCATTTTTAATTACAAAATTAAAAATAATAATAAATAAAAAAAACAGAGGGTGAGTTATTTACCATAGATTAGTTATGAAAACTAAACAGGTGAGGTTGGTATGAAAAAAAAAATTTTAAATTAAAATTAGATTGTCCTTTTTAATCTTTGCAAATCAAAACAAAGTTACTAGATGTCATGTTTGAATGGGTATAATCTTTAAATTTGTACTTATTTTGTTGATCTCTCTGCACCTCTTCAAGTGAGCCTTAGGCGACAATTAAACAGAACGCTTAAGGAATCTTTGGCATCAATTTAATTAATTTTGGACTAACCTAATGACAATTATAAAAGAATCATGGACAAACAAGTGCATTAACGACAAAATATTATTTTGTCTTTTAACAAGGATATATTTGAAAATTCGCACTTAATACAATTAAAAAATATTAAATACTTAATTTCATAAAAAATAGGTCAACAATTTTGGGACAGAGTCACAGAGGTTGTACTAAGAGAAGAAACTGTATAAGAAAGAGATCAAAAGGCCCGAAAAAGAGCCCAGAGGCTATCACAAGCTAAAACAGGCCCAAAATCGACCCAAACAACAAGGTAGCCCGCAACGGTTACAGAAGCTATGAAGATCATCTGAAATTAACAAACGAGGGAGAAGGACATCACACAAGTTCAGGGATGAAGACAGAGCTGACAACGAATGGTATCAAAAATCAAATTTTGAACCCTTGTATTCTAAATAAAATGATAAGAAGGTACCAAAACTCATTAATGCATCATCTTTTATTTTTATAATACTATAACTATCTTTTACTTATAAATCTTAACTTTTTTTTTTTTTTTTTCTTGTCATGAAAAAAAAAGAAAGATAATTTATTCAACAAAGATCACTCTTTTTTGAATTTTTAGTTATTTTGTGGTCTTATCAAAAGAGAGACTTTATTCAATAGAGATAATTTATTTTTATTTTTTTAAATCCTATCAAAAGAGATTATGTATTCACCAGAGACAACATTTTTTTGATGTTCCTTTTTTTTTTTTTTTTTTTTTGGCATTTTTTAATTTTTGAGTCTTGTCTAAGAACCTTTTTTTTTTTTTTTAATTTTTTTATATTAAAAATTAGAGAAAAAGAGAGATACCAACTAGGGGTGGGCAAAAAATCCGCCAATCCGCGAGCCCGTTCCGATCCGTACGGATCGGATGGGATTACCAGACCCACGGATCGGTGGCGGATTCTAAAAAATTGAATCCGTAGTCCACAGATCAGATCACGGATTAGGCTGTCAAAAATCCGATCCGATCCGTGACAATCCGTGGGTAATCCGTAATATATATATATATATATATATATAATATTAATATATAGCAACTCTATCCGTGGCAATCCGTGTGCCACATACCTGACGTTTTTTATTTTTTATTTTTTTTGGTAAGTATTTATTGATAGTTTACGATTTGAGAAGATTCATGGAGATTGTTCTGCTACCCTTTTTTTTTCACTGCACGGCTAGTCTGCTACTTCCTTTTTCTTTTTCTTTTTTCACTTCACTGCTACTTTTGGACCTTTGGTTATGTAATATTTGCCTATTTGGTTCACTGCTACTTTTGGACCTTTGGTTATGTTATATTTGACATATGGATTTGCCATCCCTTTTTTTTTATTTCACTTCACTGCTATTGTTATCTAATATTGGCATAGTCCTACTATTTTTTCAGATAATTTGGATAACTACTATCCTCTTAGTTATGCAATATTTTACAGTTTGATTATTCTTGTTATTATGCATTTAAATTGGGTTAGACTAATTTAGAAAATTTAGTCCACGGATTAGATCCGATCCGATCCATCATTTCACAGATTCAATCCGTGGACTAACGGATTGGTGGCGGATTCAACATTCTCCAATCCGTTGTGAACGGATCGGATTAGGAATGATGCCTAATCCGATCCGATCCGATCCGTGGCCACCCCTAATACCAACTATAGGGCTCCATCCTTACCAAAACGGGGGCTGTATAATTTGAAACAAATTTTGGGACCCTATTGATGCTCTTCAAAAGGCTCTTAAGGATTTTCAAGAATTTCGTGAGGTTTCTCGTCAACACAGTTTTCTCTCTTTCCATTCGTCTATTGTCTCCTCCCCGTCGGAAAAATGGTATGCACCAAAGAGGGGTTTTTACAAGCTTAATTTCGACGCTGCTTTTCACTCCTTTTCTCATTCTTGTGGAGGAGGTATGATTCTCAAAAACCATTTGGGTTAACCCATAAAGATTGCCTCAATGTTTCTTGCTCCTGTAAGTAGTTCTTCTTTGGCTGAAGCCTTGGTGCTTCGTGAGGCTCTTTTGCTTGTAAAGAGTTGGGGCTATATGAATATGGTGTTTGAGGGGGACTGCCAATCAGTTATGAGATTGCAGCCCACTGTTGAAGCCTTCTGTGTAGTGTTCAATGATATTTCAACTCTCTTGAAGGAATGTGTAGGTTCTTCTTTAGCTTGGATTCCTCGTGGAGGAAATGTTGTAGCTCACTTGTTGAACAGGAAGGCTCTTGAAGCCAAACGTGGTGATCTTGAGTGGAGTATTTGGCCCCAGTGGTTGTTAGATACTTTTCTCCCTGATTGTATGTGTTCTCTTACTTATTTGAAGTTTCTTGTTGGTGTTAAAAATAAAAATAAAAATTTGAAACAAAATATTCATTAATTTACTATGAAGTTAGGTTATAAGAGTCATTTCTTCTTTTTTAGATGGGAGTACAAATAGTAGAAAAGCAATTACAAATATCCCCTCCCTCATAAAATTGTGTGTTGAGTGAGTGTGCTTTTGAAGATTAATTAAGCCATTAAAGAAAAAAAATCAAAACAAGTGAAATAAAATTATATGGATAATTTCACTGACCACCCCAGTAGTTTGGCCAAATATCAGTCTAAAACATTTTTCGAAAATAACTATCACTTAGGTCCAATTTCGCTTTTTCATTACAGTTTTCGTTAAAAATACATAAAAGACAATTTTACCCTTAATTTTTTTAATCTCATTTATTCCTAAATTCCATATTATGTAAATGACCAATATACCCCTTATCATTACACGTACCAACCACTACACCCGACATCAGAAACCATCTCTCTCCACCAAGCCAAGATTATCACCAACAACCATTGTTCTCTCGTCTCTGTACCTTCGCAGAAATTCATGGTAGCTAAAGCACGGTACATTTGCAGGGCTTTCATGGTCACTAAAACCCCGTTAGATCGCTGTTCACTCGATCTGTGAAACTATCTATATTTTTGGTGTTTGGTCCTCAGCTGGGTATAGAGATGAAGCTTACACCGAGTGAATTGGTTCAATTGGTTCATGGGAGAGCATCATTGCCTGTATATATTTGCTATTGAATGATTTCGGGCCTTATTAATTTGCAATTGAAACTAATTGAATTCATATGCCAATTTTGATTTTGATCTGTTATAGTTGTGTATGTGTGTATATTTATATATAATATTATATATTAGAGAAATGAAAAAGGAGAGAGGGTGGGAAGGAGCCACAGTGGCGGTGGTTGGCGGGCAGTGATTTGTGAATTGAAGTATTGCGTCAAAGGGACGACACGGGTTGATCCCACAACTTCATTGATGCGGAAATGTTGAAAATGATCTGTTTAACTCGGAGCGAACCCACTTCGAAGCTCAGTTTCGGGCTCTCACCGGCACCGATGCAGACATCCTCGCAGTACACAGCGTGTTGTATGTGTATATATGCACGCATATATATATATATATATATATATATATATATATATATATATATATATGTCTGTCTGTGTTGGTTATGGGTTTGGAGATGGAAGCGTTGGTTTAGTGTGAGGATGAAAAAAATAAAAAATAAAAATCAAATATAAATATAAAATGACAGAAATATACTTCAATTCATATGCTAAAAGATAAAAAGTAGGGCCTTTTTTTGTCCAAAAAATATGAAGACAAGCATATATATATATATATATATATATATATATATATATCTGAAATAATGGAATATATGAATGGGTGATTGATCATGGAACCAGACACTTGTAAATTTTTTTTTATTTTTCTCTTTCTCTTTTTAAATTTCATTAATTTCCTTAAAAAAATAAATTTTTCTTACTTAAAATTTCACTAATTTCTTTAAAAAAATATATTAATGAGTGATTTTTTTTATTTTATTTTTCTATTTTAGTTTTTAAATTTTTTCGTATTTTTCTCTTTCTCTTTTTAAATTTCATTAATTTCCTTATATGAATGGGTGATTTTTCTTATTTTATTTTTCTATTTTAGTTTTTAAATTTTTTTCTTATTTTTCTCTTTCTCTTCTTAAATTTCATTAATTTTCTTTAAAAAAATATAGAACCAAACACTTGTATGGCGTATAATAGTTCTCAATACCAAACTGTATGATGTTGATCACCTACTTTATTTATTCTTGTATATGGAAAAGGAAGGGTAAACATGTCATTTAAATAGTCAAACTAAAATCAGATGAGGGTAAATATGTCATTTCAATTATTAAAGAAATAATTAAATGGGTCAAACCAAAGTCAAATGGTAAGAATGTCTTTTTACATGAAAAAAGTGATCTGACACATCTGTCAACTAACTTTTAGGGTGTGAGTGAAAAACGGAGAAAACGTTTGTAATGTGAGTGATAGTTATTTTCGAAAGATGTGATAGTTATTTTCAAAATATGTTTTAAATTGATATTTGGCCAAACTACTAGGGGTGTCAATGAAATTATCCCTAAATTATATCACATATTCACATTTGCTTGCTTTTACTCTCTCTCTCTCCCTGGTCCTTCATCCTAAGCCTCTTGAGTTCTCATGCAAAGAAAGTAGCATTTTGGTAATTTTCGTGCCTAAGGTGAGAGAATTTTATGCATACGAAGTAATTATACAAGCATATATATATATATATATATATATATATAGTAAGCCAAAAGGGTGATCCCAACAGTAAGAAAGACCGAAAATACAACAGCAAAGGAGAATTTTAATAATAACAATAATTCCAGAGCTGCAGGCCAGCCCTGAAGAACATATTCAACTGAAGGTAGTGACATTAATAACCCTGGCACCATAGTTTCATAACTGACATATTTACTTGTCTATATTTTTGTTAGGTTTAGCTTTGTGTTGCACCAAATTTTACATATATATGTAGCTCAAAATCGCTGCAGTCTTCATCATTTCTTTTACTAGCTTTACATGTCTTCATAATTAAGTACTAGTTTATTAATTTTTTTCAAGGTACTGTAGTTTTTAAATTTGTTATATTGTCATATTTTGCTAATTACAACATAATTCAAGTTATGTTGTGACAAGGTACATACTAAAGTACTATATATCTATAGCAAATACAGTTACAGCCAGAATATACATAAAATTTTAACATTAATTATTTGGTTATATTTTGTGAATTGAAGCACATTAAGGAAAAATATACAATGCAACATATCTATTTCATTGATAAGTATGCAATATATTAAAGGAATTAGGGTTTGAGAGAGATCTAGAGAGAGAAGAGAAAAATTAAGTTTATTCTCCTTTGTTTCTGGTACGTAGGACATGAAATAGCTAGCTAGCACAGATTCACTCGCACTTAACCTAATTGGCGATGATCGATTCACATGTAACCCATAGCTTATTTGGAAGAGTGATCGAGATCATCCTTTGATAGGCAACTTACAATACCCTAGGAAAAAAGGGGAGAGAAGAAAATAGGAGAAAAGTAAATTAAGAAACATGCATGCAAGTTTGAGGTAATTAGAAGCTGGTTTTCTTGATTATTCTTGCTCACTGCTTTCTCTCCAGTTTTGAATTGCTTGTAGAATTGCTTGCTTCACTGCTTGGGCATCTATCTTCTCAGCTTGTCCTTGATTCTCCTTCAAACAAAAAAGTTTTGATTCAACTATTTTGTGCACAGTTTTATGAAATATATATATATATATAGTTGAAACAAACATATCAAAGAAACCTTTTAAAAAGAAAAAAAAGAAGAGTTCATTTTCTTACATAACCTCCAAGTACTGCTTCTAGATGAAAGTTGTCTGAGCAGAAAACCCTAGCATGGAACACTTCAAGGCCTAGCTCTTCAAAAGCTTCCAATACAAAAACAAGCAAACCTGTGCAACTTCTTTCCGATAGCACATCAATTAGAAATCCTTCTTCTTGGGCTTCCACTTTAACCTGCTCATGATTGATGATACATAATATAACAGATCATTAAATTACAGGGCAAAAACACACACATACACACAAACACGCGCGCACAGCGGTAATTATGCATGTAATTAGAACTATAAATATAATTTAATTTCAATCTACCGTAGGCAATGGATCTTGGGCTGTGGAGATCTGTGTCGTTGCCATATTTTGATGATTTAGTCTTTCCACTTTCTGCCTGGACTTTTCTGTGTTCTTGGATGAGTCTAAGGTAAGTAAGGATTTGTTCTGCTGCACAGATACAGACACACAGAAGCACATAATTAATTTCTAGAAAAGATAAAACTCAAGGAAGCTTGAAAATAATTTCTATATATGTATGTTTGAATCAGCTCTCCACTTAATTAATTAATTACTCTAGATAATCCCTGATCTCATTTTTAGAACAAAAGTTGAAAAGGAATTGTTGTATATATAGATATAATTTTTATTTAACATATGAATATATATATGAACAAGAATCTAGAATAGAAATGATCAATATGAGAATCTTCAATGAAAGGCTTAATTCTTTCGGGTTCACTTCCTAATTGATCAAGTTTAAAATCAATATATACCATCTTTTTCTTCCATGATTAATTCACTTGTTGAGAACTTCAAGCCCACATATTCAAGTAAAAAATAAAAAACCTAATGATCATCAAGGTTTCTCAAGAATTCCTCCTAAGGAAACCTAGATGATGATTAATTAATATACCAGTCAAATCAACACTTGAAGAAGATATAAGAAGAAGAAAAACTTTTTTTTCCAAATGATCTTGTAAAAAGTTGACACTAATCATCTCCTAGCGGAGAATGAGCTGGTAACAAGCTAGCAAGGCGACTAATATAAACAAAATGTTTCAGAAATTCAGAGAGATGGAATTACTGCATGAGAGTTCGTGATGGAACGCAGCAGTTGTAGCTTTCTATACATGGTTGATCTCTTGTGCTCCCTAGAAACCATTCTCTCCCTCTCTCTCTCTCTCTCTCTCTCACACACACACACACACACAACCTGGTGCTAACTAGCTGTTGTAAAAGGGATGAGAACTTTATCTCCACCTAATGAAATATAACGCGGATTGAAGATTATTGAACTACTCTAATTATTTGCCCTTTTTTTGTTTTTTTATTACTTTTTCCTTCTGCATTATGAAAAAGAAATATTTTTTTGCTACTATTGGTTGCCCAGAGACAAGGATAAGATGACAAAATTCTCTGTTTCCAACATTATTTCACAATTTATTTAACTCGTGAATCCGTGAGTGAGATATAATTTGAATTTTCATTTCAATTTCCATCATATAATAAGACCAACGCAGTTTAACTCAATCACTATCATGACTATTCATGAGTTAATTCTTAAATGTAGAACGTAAGGTGAACAAGGAACGCCTTCACTGTAATCACTTTGTACTGATTGCATTATTTTTGAATCCCTAATACCAGGAATGTTTATATATACCACTACAGTGACATACATACATATGTATATATATATATATATATATATATATATATAATCGTCTTAATTGGCATGAAGTGTAGAAAGCTATTTAATTAATTTATTGAAAATGAAAGAGATCAATCTAGAGTCCAGAGATGGGAGTATTAATGTGCAGACGTGTGAGGTGGGGTTAACGTGCATGAGATGGAAGAAGAATCCAAATGTGGCTCGTGATCTGGGGTAGCAAATTAAGGAAGCAAGCGCCAAAGCATGTTATGATCTGCTGTGACTTGTGAATGCCTCCAACACCTCTTCACGGGAAGAGAATACTCTCTCTCACTCGGTTTCGGTTGTTTCCTCGATCCCAATGGCCAGTCGCAAAACTCAATATGTGTGTATAAAAATATATTTAGGTTCCATTTGATTGAGGTAAAATATTTTTTTGTATTTTTCGGTGTTTGGTAGTCTCAAATTCAAAGAAAATTTTTTATAAACGAAATATAAATTTTCAAAATTTAACCGAAACAACTTACCAATTAATCAGTCGAAAATTATTTTCCGAACCTATCAATTTAACTCTTGATCTCCTCAACAAAACATCGAAAATGTCAATCAAGTTCGTGGAAAAATTACTATACAGTAACCAAAAAGAAAGAGAACGTGTAGAGAGAGAAAGAAATGAACCTTTAATAAAGAGATAATTTTGAGAGGAGCCATTTTACATGTAGTGACCAGAAACAAAATAACTGTTAAGAAAAATACCAATAGGCTCAATAGTTATCATGGGGCGAGAGACAAGAGGTCAATCTCTTTTTAACAACAACAATCATACAAGTTCCTAGATTTCTTCAATAAAAAATATTTTCACAACTTTTGTCAAATATTGGATTTTTTTTTTTTAAAAAAAACATTTTATATGAAAAGTGTTACTTAAAAAATATTTTACGCTCAAACAAACGAAGTCTTAAAGTAAAAATTCAATTGCACAACAAGCACAACATTCATCCAAATAAAATATAGTTTTTTTTATTTTTATTTTTTGACATTTGAAAAAGGGCTAGGTAGAGTCCATTGTGTAAAATAAATTGTGAAAAATTAATGTTTAAATTATTTTTATTATATTTCAATATTTATTGCCATTCGTAAATATTTTACCATAACTAAACATAAAAAACTAAAAAATACTTTAAAAAAAATATTTCACGTCTAAACAAATTAGCATTCGAATGCGCACATGCAAATTTCTCTTTGACGCTTTGGTATTGATAGTATATAATTAATTTAATTACTGATGGACTAGTAGTTCATGTGTAAACTGGAATATGCATGTACTGGGATTGCTTTGAACATTGTCCTCTTTCAACACTGACAAATCTATCTGACGATGCCTATTAACTCACATGATCAGTGCTTATTAATTAATCATCACAACCAAACAACATTCCTAAAGTGAATCTATTTCTAGGCTTTTTGAGGTCTACCACTCTACAATTCATTCAGTGTTTATCATATTCCATTTGGTTTAAAAACAAACAAAATTTCAATTTTTTATTTTATTTTCCCAAGCTCTATTCAAACACCCAAACAGTTATCTGATGATTCGACTCATTTTGAATTTTTCACAACTCTTGGGGAGTAAAAGGGTTTTTTACATGGAAATGAAGATTATTTATTTATGTTTTCAAGTTTATTTTTGGCAGTTTGAATTTTTTTATATCTGCATTATCTCAAACAATTTGTATAAATCACCGCAATGATTATGAGTGTGGCGGTATTACCCGAATAATAAAGAGTCAAGTTAAGTGGTCTACATTCAATTCAATGATTCTAAATTCGAATAAAAAAATACTATTTGGTTACAAGTATAGCGCATTAAGAACGCTATAAATACAATATTTTTATAACTTTTACAACCAAAAATAGTTATTTATCAAATCCCTTGACAGTTTTTTTTTTTTTTCGCAAATCATATACATCTCAAAATTCTAGTATAATATATTTCATAAAATCAAATATTTAGATCAAATTGATCCAAAATCACATATATATATAATATAGTCGTACCTCATGTCCGGCCAAATAATGGCACAAGATGCAGCACAAGGCGTAGCCGATGCTTCAATGCTAGTGTGTCTTCGAAAACTAGCTATACACTCACATCCTCGAAAACTCTTATCAAGCTAGACCTCATTTTCTTCTTCCGACAGACCCACAATGTTTGGAATTTTTAGATTCAGTGGATTCATCTTTGAGGGATGGTGTTGGTTATGAAAGTGGTGGTGTGAACCCGATATCGATGGTGGTTGTTTGAAGGCCTCCCCCAGTTAAAGGGGCGTTAAAGTAAATACTGATGCATGCAGCTTTCCGTAAGAGGTCTTGCTCATTCGGAGATGGCCAGTAATTGTCAGAGATGATTGTGGGATCCTAGTTAATTATGGCTGCAACATTTGGATTTAACTGTGTTTCTGATCCCACTCTTCCTGAATTTTGAACTCTCAAAAGAAATGCTCATTGCATTGCAGATGCTTTGATAGTCCAGTAGATTAGTGCCTCGGGTGAATTTTGGAGTGACAGGTTTTAACTCTCTGCATCTACTAATCTAACTTCTAACATTTCTAACCTAAACCAAAAAAAAAAAAAAAAAAAAATTCCTCTTTAAGGGATGGGGTCTGATATCTTCCTCCGATTAAAGATATATATCACAGAATTGGTGAGCAACTCTCAGTTGTCCTTCCCACTTAATCTCATCAGAGTGTTGGTCATGCTATGTCTGAGGGTACTAGTGGAGTGATCCAGAAGGATATTTTGGCTTGTATGGTAATTCTAGCAAGTATGCTAATTCTTAGCGAAGAGTTTTAGCTACTTAATTAATACGTTTATATTATGTTTGGGAATATCAAATCAACGCTTAAATTTTAAATTGAATAAAATTTAATTCAAAATTTGTATTAAAATTTACACCAATTCTAAATACGTACAAAGCACATAATGCTTCCAACATTAGTTTAATTTTCTGGACCCACCCCACCTGCAGGAAATAGATTGTATTAAAATTTGGTATATTCATTTTTATGCTAAGGTGCAGGGACTAATTAGAAGATACAATTTATATGTTAGGGAGTTATAAGTTCCTTACATATCCACGTGACTTGTGTAATGGGCTCACACTCTTAGACTGTTTGTTAGAGTGAAATTAGTTAGGAGAAAAGTAAAAGAGAGGAGAGGACAGTTTCATTTTAATAAATTTACAATTATATTATTATTTTTTTAAGATTTTTTTTTAAATAAAAATAAATATAAATTTGATATTAACCAAATTTTATTTAAAAATTTTATTATATTTTTGAATTTTTTCATGTTGTTATTAATATCTTATTGACTTTTTCGAGATCATTCCTTTTTAATTCTAATACATTTAACCTTTCGTACTAAACACAATTTATCATTTACCTTCGTTGCCATTCTTTTACTTTCCTTGCATTTATATTGTACCAAACTAGCCTTGTAGTTTAAAATTTCAGATGACAAGCTCACCTATTTATTCATAAACTCCGCTATTGATTTGTCTAACCCACACTCACTTTTAAGCTTGAAATTTTAAATGGTAAAGTTCACCTTTTTATAGCCACACTCATCCTAAATGGACAACTAGAATGTGTTGCATGCAATGAAGGGTGAAAATATACTTACTAGATCTCGCCATCTGAATATCTAAACTCTCTAATTTTCCAAGATATTATGTCCCGTGCAAATTCTTCAATATTCTAGATCTCCTAATTACTCTCTCTAATAAGTCTCAACACTCCTCAATTCTTCTAAAAACCAACCTTAATCTTACCGTACGACTCTATGTATCTCTCACATGGCACAAAATTCCTGTGACACTGGGGGTGGAAAGTACAAGAATGATAATTGGTAGAGAGACCCAACAACTTTCTTAAACTAATACTCCGTAGATACCGTTTTGTTGTTATAATAAAAAGTGGGGGAAAGGTTTATATATAAATAAGGGTAAAGTACATTGTCTATTTTTGGGACAGCGTGGTCTCAATTTTGATGGTTGTCAAACACACTTCAATGATATAAATTGATATTTTTATCCATTCACTATTATATTAACCAATTTAATGACCTCTCCACCCTCCTACCCAAAACCATTTTTTTACTTCTCTCCCCCGTGTTCTCTCTTCCTCGACCCCAACACAACACACACACTGTCACACATATATACACACCCACATATATATATACACACACGGTCACACCCCACGCATATATATATATATATATATATATATATATATGTATGTATGTATATACAGATACATATATATATTTACACACAAGGCGGCGGCGAAGACGGCGAGACGCCTCTCCTCCACCGTCGGCGTCATCGTCATCCTCCGCTTCTACATCAACGACTGGCCGACTGAATCCGACGTGGCCGAATTTAGATCCGCGGCCCGTCTTCGATTCCATCGACCCATAGTGGCCGATGAGATAAGGGCGGCGATGGT